GCGTGTGCCTCTCCAACCAAGGGTGCGAGGCTCCCTCAGTAGGATCCATGACATCCCCCTCCTGGCTACTTACCTATGGACAGCCTGCTGCTGGATCCTTAACCCCTTTCATGATTCAGAGAGAGAAATCACTTTGGCCAGAGTCCCACTGCCTTAATCACAGACTATGAGACACCCTCCTCCCACTGTCACAGGCTCCGGGCCCCTCATAGTGAGTTGCAGAGTGATGCTAATCCAGCAAGAGTCACACCACACTGGCCAAAGTCACAGTTCCTGAGCCTCAGGTCCCAATACTCCTTTCTCCCAGGCCATGGACTCTGGGAACCCACAGTGAGCACATAGCAGTGAGACCTCAGACAACCTTTTCCACAAGAGCCGGAACCACAGTCACATCCAAAACTGCTTGCACAACGAAGCTGGGGGTGAGTCACATTGCTAACCCATGATGAGACTTCATCCACGAATAAGAAACTAACATTCAAGATCCAACTACATCAAGAGAACCCAAATAGCTCAAGTAGAGAGCTACAATAGATTACCAAGCCCAGGAGACCTGAGGGATCACATCAGTAGCACCACCCTCAAAAGAACCTGGGTAGCAAAGCAGTTGGATCTAGGGCACAGAAACAATTGAAACGTTATAGCAAAATATGGGGAGACAAAAAAGCAATCCCCAAAGGAAAGAAAAAGAAGACCACCAGAGAGTTAAATGAAATGGAGGCAAGTAATATGTCAGAGAAAGAGTTCAGAGTAATGGTTATAGCAGAGGTCCTCAAACTACGGCCGCGGGCCACATGCAAATACAAATATTGTATTTGTTCCCGTTTTGTTTTTTTACTTCAAAATAAGATATGTGCAGTGTGCATAGGAATTCGTTTATAGTTTTTTCTTAAACTATAGTCCGGCCCTCCAACGGTCTGAGGGACAGTGAACTGGCCCCATGTTTAAAAAGTTTGAGGACCCCTGAGTTATAGGATGCTCAAATGGCTGGATGACAAATATGCACAACTCAATGAGAATGTCACCAACATGAAAAGGAACCTAGAGGAAATGAAGAATGACATAGCTTCAATAAAGAACACAATGGAAGGCTTAATAGTAGAATAGAAGAGGCTGAGGACCACATCAGTGAATTAGAAGACAAAGTAGGAAAAAACACACAAACACAGCAGCAACTGGAAAAAAACTTAAAAAGCAAGAGGAGAGCTTAAGGGAGCTTTGGGACAACACAAAATGAAACATCTGCATAATAGGGGTACCAGAAGGAGAGAAAGCAAAGCAAGGAATAGAAAACCTGTTTGAAGAAATAATGACAGAAAACTTCCCTGATATTGGCAAGAAAAAAAAATACGCAAGACCAAGAAACACATAGAGTGCCAAACAAAATAAACCCAAAAAGACCAACACCAAGACACATCATAATTAAACTGGCAAACATCAAACATCAATGACAAAGAATCTTAAAGGCTGCCAGAAAGAGAAAGTTACCTACAAGGGATCTCCCATTAGAATATCAACTGATTTCGCAACAGAAACACACCAGGCCAGAAGGGAATGAGTTCCTTTATATATCCTGAATCTGTCTTTTGTCAAATATGTGCTTTACAAATATACATTTTTTCCTGATCTGTGGTTTGCTTATTTGATTTCTGAATGATCTCTGGATACACATCCATTTTAAATTTTGTTGGTCTAATTTATCATTTATTTTCTAAGCATTGCTGTTTCTAAGAAATCAGTTGCCCATTTCCAAGTCACAAAGCTATTCTTCTTTTTCTTCTGAAGGCCTTGTTTTAGGTTTTTAAATTAGCTTTATGATCCATTTTGGCTGAATTTTTGTGTATACTGTGAGAGGGTCAACTTTTTTTTTTTTCATATGGACATCCCAATTGTTCTAGTACTATCTGTTCAAAGTTTCCTTTCCACATAGGATACTTTGGCACCATTCATTCTAATTCAATATTGTTCTTTTCTTTGGTAAGATTACTTTAGATATTCTAGATCAGGGGTGGGCAAACTTTTTGACTCGAGGGCCACAATGGGTTCTTAAACTAGATCGGAGGGCCGGAACAAAAGCATGGATGGAGTGTTTGTGTGAACTATTATAAATTCAGTAAACATCATTACATAAAAGGGTATGGTCTTTTTTTTTTTTAGTTTTATTCATTTCAAATGGGCCGGATCCGGCCCGCGGACCATAGTTTGCCCACGGCTGGTCTAGATTCTTTATATTTCCATATAAATTTTATAATTATCAATTTCTACCTAAAAAGCCTACTGGTATTACAATTGGAATTGCATTGAATCTATAGATTTGTGGAAAACTGACATCTTACCAATTCTCGTCCACCCATATCTTATTATCCAGCAATATTGTATATCTATACATTTATTAGCTATTCTTTAATTATTACCAAAAATATTTTGTAGTTTTTAGCGTATGTTTTGCATATGTTTTGTTAAAAGTACTCATGAGTATTTTGTTTCTTGATGCTATAGGAAGTGGCAGTTAAAATTTTATTTTCCAATTGTTTGCTGTTAAGAAAAATATAATTGATTTTTATGTAATAATCTTGTCATAACCTTAAAAATTTTTATTTTAATAGCTGAGGATACCTGAGGCTTTTCTATATCAATAATCATAATTTGCAAACATTGTCCATTTTATTTTTTCTTTTCTTTTTAAAAATATTTTTATTATTTTAGAGAGAAAGGGAGAGAGATTGAGAGAAAGAAACATTGATGACAGAAACATCATTGATCAGCTACTTCCTGCATGACCCTTATTGGGGAGAACCCGAAACCCAGGTATGCGCCCTGACCTGGAATTGAACCATTACTTCTTGACTCCTGGGTCGATGCTCAACCACTGAGCTACACCAGCTGGGCAATTTCTTATTTTCTAATCTTTATGTTTTTTCTTGCCTTTTGCATAGATATATGGTAAAATGTTGAATTTTATAAAAATTCACAAATGGGTATTGAACTTTGTCAAATGTCTTTTCTCTATCTATTTTCAGAAAAATTTAAGCTCCTACTAAAAGCTTGTCCAGACAGAGCACCAAATTTGGGAAATAGTGTTTACTTATTCAATCTTTTCCCTACCCACAACCACCCACCATGACAGGTGTCAAAGTGGATTCTGCACAAGACCACCATCTGGCTAGTAAGTGGCAGAGACTTACAGGGCTCAGACACAAACCTCCCGATGTTCAAGCTCCTGTTCTTTCATCAGCACCATGGTGGCCTCAGAGTAGTTCAATATAAGAATTCTCATAGCAATACTTTTATTTTTTATTTTTATTTTCATCAATAAAATGCAACATACATATTATACCGAACAATAAAAGCTAATGGGACAAAAGAATCATTAACTTTTAAGGTGGGAGACAACATAAAACATTGGCATTCCTTGTGACATACAATTTTTCAATTAAATCACAGTTTTAGAAAAGAGTTGAAAAATGCCTGAAAGAAAACATGGTATTTTAAAGTTAAGGCGCACGTGTATGTAAACCTACTGAAAATGCTGGAAAGAAACATTTCAATCCATGTTATATAATGTTTTATTAAGTGATATATTTATGGAAAAGAATTGAAAAGGCCTATCGGAAACTAGGAACTATTCAATCCCACAATTTATAGTCTTTTCAGGCATGTGATACATTTGTGAAAAATAGTTGAAATATGCTTGATAAAAGAAGGGTCATGTTAATCTAATCCTACTTTTCAGTCACTTGCTATAGAGGAAAAGCAGTTGAAAAATGCCTGCAAGAAGAGATGACTATTAATCCCTACACTTGAAAACCTGCATCTCAGTATGGTTAAACACACAAGACAATGACCAAGGGACAGGAACTCTCTCAAAGCATACCACAGATAACAGTTACAGAGAATTTTTGGCTTCAAGCTTTTGCTAAAAATATTTTACATTATTAAATGTATATTATTAAGTGTACACTGAAAGCTAACTGAAGTGACAAATAAGACTCAGGGACAGTTTGTAACAAAAGTTGTTAAAGTCCATTAATTTTTTCCCAAGAAAAGCAAGTGAGGTAGTTTATACTGTGTATACACTATAAAGAAATTAACATTCCAGTTTGTTTGAAGGTCATTCACTCCAAAAATTATATCCCCAAGTGAGCTGCTTAGCAAAGGGATTCTCTTTTGCAGAATAAAAAAGCGAGCCAGTTCTAGGTTGTTTTTTTTAAATGAGTAAGTGTTCCTAAAATGTTAATTTTCTCTTGTTCTTTCCTGGATATTATTTTCCTAACTGTACACCAAGGGCAGTAGGGGTGAGGTGGAGTGGGAAGGTATTAAAAACAGAATTTAAAAGCCCAGTCTGACTGCTCTTGTTTGCAAATATACTATTCATTTTTACAGATTGCCATAACTATTTTAAAACAACTCTTGATAAGGCAAAGATAGTTTTTTAATACATAGGTGGCATGCATTTTTAAATTTCAATTGTAAGGGTTTGTTTATTCTTTAAAGATAAAATTAGTAAAAAAAAAAACCAACCCTTTTTATTTACATAAAATTAGTCTGTGTGTCTACTGAAAATTCTTCTCTAATCAGTTAACCCTATGACTAAGAATAAAAGTTATCATTGGATAATGCTATTGGTATTGACATGGCCTTCTGTATAATACAGTTATTTGAAAGGTGTCACACATCCTTGAATACATTAAAGTGATTAAAGTCATTGACTCAGTTAAGTCTCTGACCTATGAAAACACACAAAGTGGCTAAGAAATTCAGAAACTTATTGTTTTTACCTGTCATCTGCTAGCAATTTATTTAAAACTGATGACAAGTGAGGTAAATCTTGAAATCCTTAGAACTTATGTATAGGTACTAATGTATTTTCAATAAAAAGAAATGAAAACTCCTAAATAAAAAAATTGAATGAATAGATTCATGAATTTTCTATATAAACAATTTATTCTAAATGATAAGAAATACAGTGAGATAAATCAATCATTATTTTCATATATACATAGAAGTGTAAGGTAGTTAATTTGAAGAGTTTCTTCCATGTGTGTAGGCATATATTACTGCCATCTTATGTCTTGGAACTTAGTAACAACATAAAGTGAAATGTTTATTCCTGTTGTTTAAATTGCAAAAATGATAAAAGCATTTTTTCAGACTTTTGAAATTCATTATGTAAACTCATATGTCATCAATTACCCACATACTGAAAGCTAATGAAATGTAAGTCTAAACTTACAGAACATGTTTCTTTCCTAATGCGTTTTCAGGAAAAGGAAATGAGATTCTCAAACAAATAAAATGAATAGATATTTGAGTTTTCTACAAAAATATAGCAAAATCTTAATGACCAGAAACGGAATTATCAACATGTTGAATATAAGTAATGTTTTTATAGACATCAAGGCATAATGCAGCATATAAAAATTTCTTGTATATGTGGTCTTTAATTATCGCATGTTTTGAGACTTGGTAAGCAGATATGTTTTCTGCGATTGTGAGCAATTTTGTCTCTTGTTTGAACTGCAAGAGAGTCGCTTGAGTGTCAAAGCTCATTAAAACTGATATAAAGTCAACAAAATACCAATCTGTGGATTCTAATCCAAAGCATGTGGGATAAATGAGACGGCGGCCCCATTTCTAGCTCACCCCAGAAGGACTATATCTGCGTTCTCAAGATGAAAGGCAGAGCTGTCTGGCCCTTCTGCATATTTTAGATTTGCTTTCAATTACAATCATGGTGACTGTGTGTTCTTATCAATTTCAGGTCTGAAAATGGCTCCACAGGATCTTGATAGCGAGACAGTTTTCCGCTTACAAAATATGCATCTGATTTTAAAACCTGATGCTAATCCCCAGTGCTTGGCCATGACTATGATTGATGAACAGAAACAAAACCTGCTTTTACAGCACGCAGAATCTGAATGTAACGGTATTTTTAAGCACTCGTGGATAGAGGCAGTTCTGTATTTTTAAACTGGGGTTGCAGAAGTGACTATCTACAGTTGTAAAATATAAAAAGTGATATGTTTGGTCAGAAAAGGAAATCAATGCCCGGCACATGGAAAGCTATTCATTGAGCACCATAATCATGATGAGAAAAATAGAGGCTCTGTGACTTTGGACTACACAGAAGGTTATGAAAACATAAGAATACCCTTTGTCAAACTAAGCTTGCCTAGGCAGCCCTGTGCTCATAAGGGAATAAGCTTTATAACTGTAAATTTTCACCAGTCCAAGAAAAAGACATGTTCATTTGCACCAGAATGCTGATTACCATGATACAGTACAACGTACATAATAGTACAGTGTCTTTAAACAGAAGTTTCTCCTTCAATTCAGGAGAAAGTCAGAGCATAAATAGTGTACGTGTAACTTTAGAAACTGATTCCACTAGAAAGTAGAGCTGAATTATTTTATAGAGTGGAAGTTACTGATATTTCTGGCATTCTTGCTTACACAGGACAATATATGTATATATAGCATAAGTACAAAAAAGTCTTTTTTCCACCTCTTGTGTTTGGTAGCATTTGCTACATAGAGAAGTGTTTCTTATCCCTAGTTAAGGATCAAGTTCATTTCTGCTGTAGCCAACGTACGAGAAATGATCAGAATTCCTGTTCTCGATTGGTCTCTCTTCAGAAGGATCATGACCTCTTTCTTTCACTCTTATCAAGGAACTGTCATGAGAAAGCTTTAGTTCAAATGATTAACCATATCCTCTTCCATAGTTCATGCTGACGATGCTGGGAGACACCGCTTGAGCTGAGAAACACCACGAGGTTTATAGGAACAAACATGTCAAAAGCAGCCTTTTCGCCCCCTACTTAATGTAGAATTTTCTTGGCATATTAAACATAATAGCTGCCATCTTGAGGGTATTTCAAAAACTTGATTGGGGTTTAATGACCCATTCTGCTTGAGGATTTACATGATATACATCCAATATGTAAGCATCTGGATCCAAGCAATGCTGTCCTAAGGAAAGAGAAAATCAGAGCATGTTTTTAAGAGTGAACACTTCTGAGTGTGTGTGTGTGTGTGCACGTATGTGTGAGTTTGTAAGGTTTCGATAAGGCCACTGTAATTCTCTTAGCCAAAAGTAAGTACAGTAAGCACTTTCCTTATTGTTTTTAGAGTTGAGTACTTTAGTTATTAAATATTTCCATGCCTTTACTGATGATTGAACAAGCAATAAACAATTAAAATATATAATGAGACAAAAAATTTAGATGGCGAATGTTACAGTGTACTTACACAAATCTAGAAGGTACAGCCCGCTACTGTAATTATGTGTGCTATATTTTTATATGACTGGCAGCAGAGTAGGCTTCTTTACACTGGCATCACCACAAATGTGTTCTGCTATATATGACAGCTACAATGTCACTAGGCAATAGGAATTTTTCTGCTCCAATATAATCTAATGGGACCACTGTCATATATACAGTCATTTGTTGACCAAAACCATGACTGTAGATACATTTTAAAGATTCTTATCAAAGCTTGTCTGTCTTCCTTCCTTCCCTCCTTTCTTTGTTTCTTCCTGGCTATTAAGTACTTAAAATAAATCCCATGTGAAATTGTGGAAAATACATATCAACCACAGGCAAATTGTTTCCTAGACTCACCACATTTATTAGAAAAAATATGGCAAGGACTTGTTTCAGGTATAAAATGATCATTTATAATGTAATACATGTCCTCTAATGGTTTTACAGATAGTAACTTGACCAAGACTAGAGAAGATTAAAAGCAAGTTCATTTTAATTTCTTTACGATGGATACAATGCCCATAGGCGGAAGATCTGGAAATAACAAAAAGATAATTCTATGTGATAAAATACATGTGAAAAATTTTATATATAGTGTATTTGAAATTCATATTAAAGTCTCAAGCAAAACTACCAAGATCTGACTGCTCGCTTGAGTCATTCATTTATCAACTACTTATTGAGAGTTATCATGTTCCAGGAACGATTCTAGGGGCTGGGGCTACAGCAATGCATCAGACAGTCAAAAGTACTTGCCCTATGGGTACTCACATTCTAAAAGTGGTAAAGGCAACTAGGAAATAAGCTAGTATAATGTAAAGCAAGTCTGATAATGATGAGAACATCAGAGAACAATGAAGCATGGAAGGAACATAGAGAAGATATAATCCAGGAAGGTTTATTGAGAAGGTGATATTCATCAAAGGCCTGCATGAGGGAGCGAGGAATGAACAATCTAAAAGAGAGAGAGTTCTAGGCAAAAGTCAGCAAATGCAAAGACACAAAGCAGAGTGTGCCCAGTGATTGAATACACAAGGTTAGTGTCTGAGGGAAAGTCAGGATGTAAATGTGAGAGGCATCAACATACAGGTATGTTCAAAGCAAGGAGATAAACTGAGCTCCCCAAGGAAGTTAAATGTAGATAAAGAAGAGGTGGAAGGACTGAACCCTACAGCTCTCCAATCTTAAGAGGGTGAGAGGATAAGTAATGGGCAAAAGACACCCATGAGTAGCCAGTGTAGTGGGAGGGAAGCCAGAAGCTTAGGTTGTCCTTGAGACCAGATGAAGAAAGTGTTTTTCAAAGAAGGGAAAGATCAACTCAGGTAGTTATAAAGACAGGCTGAATTGTTGGATTTCACAAGGTAAGAGTTCTCTGGTGACCTAGACAAGAGAGCAATTTTGATAAAGTGTTGAAAGCTAAAGCTTGACTGGAGTGGTTTCAAGAGCGAACAAGAGGAAGAAATGGAAGTTTAGACAACTGATTCTAGGAGTTTTTGCTGTAAAGCAGAACAAAATGGGTGTTGACTGGAAGGGGGTCAAGAGAGAATTTTGTAAAAATGAGAGACATGTCCTGGCTGGTGTGGTTCAGGGCATGCACTGAAAGGTTGGCGGTTCTGTTCCTGGTCAGGGCACATGCCTGGATTGTGGGCTTGATCCCCAGAAAGGAGGTATGCAGGAAGCAGCCCATCCATGATGCTTCTTTCTCATTCATGTTTCTCTCTCTCTCCCTCTCTCCTTTCCTCTGTCTCTCAAATCAATAAAAAACAAATTTAAAAATGAGAGACATTACCAAATTTTTATGCAGATAGAAATGATGCAGTTGGAGGGAAAGCTGATGATACAAGAGAGAATGGGGGAATACCTGGATCAAGGTCCTAACTGGGCAGGGGGGGCATAAAGTGAGACTTGAGTGGAAGAGCTGGTCTTAAATAGGAGCACAGATATTTCCTCTGGACTGTGAGGAAGGCAAGCAGAAGGCAGACACAGAAGAGAGAGAGGGAATTTTCTTTGGATTCCTTTTTCTTTTTTAAAATATTTTTTACAGAGAGGAAGGGAGAGGAATAGAGAGTTAGAAACATCGATGAGAGAGAAACATCGATCAGCCGCCTCCTGCACATCCTCCACCGGGGATGTGCCAGAAACCAAGTACATGCCCTTGACCAGAATCGAACCCAGGACCCCTCAGGCCGCAGGCTGACGCTCTATCCACTGAGCCAAACTGGTTAGGCTTTGGATTCCTTTTTCACCATCAGGGAAATAGGAAGAATGAAGTTGGGCTACTAGTGGAAATAGGGAAGTTAACTAAACGTTCCATGATGTTCTTTCCTTTGTTTTGCAAGAATCTCCAGAAAGAGATTTTCCAACTTTGAGGCACATTTAAAAGATCCAAAAGTCTACTCTATATAAACTAAAATATTCACATTTAAATTCTGAAAATATTTTAGGAAAGTCATACTGTTTTTACATGAGATTAAAAAATCAAAAATTCACTGATTTTGAGTTTATATCTAAGAAACTTATAAAATATACTTTTATAATAATATCATATTTCTTTTACAGTAACCAGAGAATTTAGGAGTAAAAATGTTAAAGAATCCTTACCTATATTTCCTCCAATTTCATATAACCTTTGGTTCTGAATTTTAATGCATTCTGAAGAACCATGACTGAAAAAAAGAGAAAGCAACATAAGTTTAACCCTTTCATAATCAGAGGTTAATCTGTAGATTAAATAACCATGGCAACAAACAATCCATTCTGCCTTGAGTGAAATACACCCACAAATCATTATGACTGAAGTTATGATAAAAGCTTTTTGTTTGACACAGACTTCCACGGCAACTGGGGCCCATTTATCCACAACTGTCAGCTCCACTTAGAGAGGTAACTGCTACTGACATATCACACTGGCCAAGGAGCAGCTGGGTGCTTCATTATGCCTGGTCATTGGTCGCATCACTCTTAGTTCCAAAAAGTCAGGTTTCATTTCCATATTTTCCCAAAACTGAATGGGATTCTCTCCTCAGCCCATGTCACATTTCTAAGCTTGACTAATTAATGCTTTGCTACTGTCTAACATTGATTTCATTCCATGACTTGGCCCTATAGTAAAAGTCAGTCAGAGAAATGATTGCCCCATGAAATTTTTCTACCCCAGACTAGAATGCTGGGGTAGAAGAGTCTGAAAAGACCATTTCTGATCTCTATCCCACTTCAGGAATGACTTTCAGCTTGATTTCTTCAAAAAGATTTTTCTCACTATAGTGAGGAAGAATATGTACGCTCTCCTTTGTTTTTTTTTAAATTAAACTTTTTGAAATAATTGTAAATTTGAATGTAGTTGTAAGAAATAATACAGACAGATCCTGTGTGCCCTTTACCCAATTTCCTCTAATAGAAAAGTCTTTAAAGACTAGTGCAATATTACAACCATGATGCTAAATGATTCAGTCAAGATATGGAACATGCCCTGGACCGTGTTTCTCAGCGGTTAGAGCATCAGCTCACACACCTAAAGGTCACAGGTTCAATTCCTGGTCAAGGGCACGTATATGGGTTGCAGGTTCAATCCCTAGTCGGGGTAGGAGGCAACTAATCCATGTGTCTCTCTAACATTGATGTTTCTCTATTTCTCTCTCCCCACCTCCCTCCTTTTTACTCTGTCTAAAAATCAATGGAAAAAATATCCTCGGGTGAGGATTAACAACAACAAAAAAGAGACAGTACATTTCTATCACCAGGAGATCCCTCCTTTCCCCTTTATAGTCACCCCCACCCTCTCTCCCTGTCCCCATCCTCTATCCCTCTATCTACATTTCTATAAATTTGTCATTTGAAAATGTTATGGAAATGGAAATGGAAACATACAGTATGGAATTCTTTTGTATTGGTTTTTTTCCCACGGTATAAATTCCCTGGATACTCATTCAATTTGCTAAATTTTATTGCTGAATAGCATACCATGGTATGGACGTACTGTAGTTTGTTTAGTCATTTGCCTGTCAGAGAACACCTGGGTTTTTTCCAGTTTTTATTATTACAGATAAAGCTGCTGTAAGCATTTGTGCACAGCATTTTGTGGGAACATGGGTCTTAATTTCGTTGAGATAAATGCCCAGGAGTGTAAATGCTGGGTTCACATGATAACTGCATATTTAGTTGTATAAGAAACTATCAAACTGGTTTACAGAATGACTGTACCATTTCACATTCCCATCAGCAATGCACGAGTGATCAAGTTTCTCTATGTTTTTGTCATTATTTGGTCTTATCATTATTTTTTTTATTTTAGCCATTCTTATAGGTGTCTAATGATTAAAGATGCTGAATATTTCTTCATGTGCATATTTGTCATCTGCATATCCTTTCTGGTGATAAAAAGGAAGAACAACAAAAATCAACTTGTATTGATTTTTGTTATTTGTTTTTACTGTTGAGTTTTGAGTGTTCTTTACATATTCTAGATACTAGACCTTTTTAAAAATATATATATTTTATTGATATTTTACAGAGAGAAAGGGAGAGGGATAGAGAGTTAGAAATATCGATGAGAGAGAAACATCGATCAGCTGCCTCCTGCACAGCCCCCACCAGGGATGTACCCACAACCAAGGTACATGCCCTTGACCGGAATCGAACCTGGGATCCTTCAGTCCGCAGGCCGATGCTCTATCCACTGAGCCAACCCGGCTAGGGCTAGACCTTTTTTGAATATGTGGTTTGTAAATATTTTCTTTCAAGTCTTTAGCTTGCCTTTTCATCATTTTTATTGGTTCTTTCAGTGTATATTTCAATTTTGATAAAGCCTAATTTATAAATTTTTATCTCTGATGGATCATGCTTTCAATGTTAAGTCTAAGAATTCTTCACTAGCCTTATATCACAGAAGTTTTGTTGTAAGCAATTTTCCAAAAGTTTTTATGTTTTACACTTAATTCTATTATCCATTTTGGGTTAATTTTTGTATAAAATGTGAGGTTTAAATCAAGGGTCATTTCTGGGTGTTGTTTTTTTTTTTGGCTCATGAGTGTCCAAAATTTCTTTCTACAAAAGGTATACATGAGCATATAGAAACAACTTTGTAAGTAGAAATCTATTGGATGCCCAAATCCCTCAAATGGAATTTCAAGTCCCTCTATTACTGCCCAAGGGTAACTATTTACAGTGTTGTAGGTATCAGGGCCAGCAGCAGAAAAGGAGTAAATGTTTGGGGCTCCTGTTGGCCTCTGTCTACCCTTCTTCTTTTTTATGAAAGCTTTATATGTATGAACTTATATAGTAGCAATCATACAAAAAGTGTACACATCACATAACCAGCTTCCATATCTAAAAAAGGAACTTTTCAACATTATTTACAATAGCCAAAATATGGAAACAACCTAAGTGTCCATTGATGGATAAATGGATAAAGAAAATGTGATATATATGATGGAATATTATTCAATCATCAAAATGATACCTTGCTATTTGCAATAAAAACATGGATGGAGCTTCAGGGCATGATGCTAAGTGAAATATGTCCTACAGAGAAAGACAAATAGCACATAATCTCATTTATATGTGGAATCTAAAAATACAAAACCATCACTACAACCGAAAAACAGTCTCACAGATACAGAGAAAAGATTGGTAATTGCCAAGGTAAGGGGGTGGAGTGGGGGGAATGAGTGAAGGGGGTACAAACTTCCAATTATAAAATAAATAAGTCATGGTGATATAATGTACAACATGATGGTATATTTGAAAGTTGCTAAGAGAGTAGATCTTAAAAGTTTTCATCACAAGAAAAAAATCTAACTGTACAGTGACAAATATTAACTAGACTTACTGTGGTGATAATTTTGCAATATATACAACTCTCAAATTATTATGCTGTATGCCAGAAATGAATGTTATATGTTAATTATACCTCAATTAAAAAAAAGAAAATAAAGAATCCCACTTGTAGAAGTTCCTTTAAATAAACCAAAACTTCTGTTACTGACAATTCTCTGGCCTACTAACTTCTTACTCTACTTTTGACTTTTCACTTATTGGTAAAGTTTCCAAAGTAACTGGTTCTAATTTTTCAAAAAGGCCAAATTTGTAAATTCCTGGAAAATTACTCTCTGATAAAAGTTCATCATCTTTGTACAGAGACCTTTATTCACGTTTACTCACCTGTTCTCATATTGAAATTTTGCCAGTATGTCTTTGGCTTTGGTTTGACTACTGAGCTGAATGGCCATGGAAACCTTCGAGAGACGTGGAGCATGGACTCTTATGACTCCTTCTGGCACATCAGACTGACAATGAGGAAAAATTCAGTACATTCTGTCAAACTAGGATGAACACCAATCAGTTCAATGTTTGCACTTAAGAGATATACAAACCAGTGGCACTCTGAACTAGGAAAACATGTAAACATGACTAATATTTAACCAGAATGAAACACTGCTTTCTTTTTAACGGGAGATTCAACAAAACTTAACCTGGAATTTTACTGTCACCACAAACTTAGGTCGTATATAATGCCTTAAAATCATGAGAGGAGTAGACCTGGGTTATAACAAAACAACTAAAGTTTCTATTACTGCATTTCCTTGAACAATCCTATATAATAAAAGGGTAATATGCAAATCGACCGAACAGTGGAAAAACCACTCGCTATGACGCACACTGACCACCTGGGGGCAGACACTCTATGCAGGAGCTGCCCCCTGGTGGTCAGTGAGCTCCGACAGGGGGAGTGCTGCTCAACCAGAAGCCAGGCCCACTGCTCAAGGCTGGCGAGGGCTGCGGTGGTGGCCTCTGCAGCAGCAAATAGGATGTCACACTGATGCTCCCTGTGGGGAGTGGGACTAAGCCATCAGTCGGACATCCCCCCAAGGGCTCCCAAACTGTGAGAGGGCGCAGGCTGGGCTGCAGGACCCCCCTCTCCCTCCTGAGTGCACAAATCTCTTGCACCGGGCCTCTAGTATTCTGAATAAGCCTACTGTAAGCAGAGTTCTATATTTCAATATATTTTAATATCAACCTGAAAAAGTCAAGGATCAATTGGAAAATATGACTTTTTAAGTATCCCTTTTCTTTAGTCAGCCCAAAGTGAACTCCAGATGGACACTTGAGACTAGTTCCCTCCACGTGTGCTAATAACATTGTGAAGGGCAGACATGGACCGCTATTGGGAAAGAGAATGTCTCTGCTTTTATGTAACATAATTGGCTTGGGGACTCTGGAACTTCCATCTAAATGAAATATTAAAAAAAATGTTGCCCTGACTGGTTTGGCTCAGTGGGTAGAGCGTCGGCCTGCGGACTGAAGGATCCCAGGTTCAATTCCAGTCAAGGGCATGTACCTTGGTTGCGGGCACATCTCCGGTGGGGGGTGTGCAGGAGACAGCTGATCAATGTTTCTCTCTCAATGATGTTTCTAACTCTCTATCCCTCTCCCTTCCTCTCTGAAAAAAAATCAATAAAATGTATTTTTAAAAAAATATTTTAAAAAAATGTTGCTTTCTAATTAATAGAAATTTCTGTTTTGTCAGGATTGATTGGAAAATTCCTTTGTTTCAAAATTTTGAGTGTTTTAATGATTAATTCTCTAACTATAGGTGAGTAGAAACAAGTTTCTATTTGTTTGAGGGTCTGGCTACTCTTCAGGTAATTATTATAAATCTGTATATTCTCAAAAGATGAAATTGTTGATGTAGGTTTATGTGAAGTGATTCAATATCTACCCTAGAAAGAATGTTATGTGTTGAATTGTGTTCCCCACAAAAGGTATGTTGAAGTCCTCACCCCCAATACCTGAGAATATGACTTTATTTATAGGGTCATTGCAGATATAATAGCTAAGATAAGCTCATACCAGAGTAGGGAAGGCCCTTAATCCAGTGTGACTGGTGTCCTTAAAAGAGGAGAAGAGACAGGGACACATACACAGGGTGAATGCATATAAAGACAGAGGCAGAGATTGGAATGCACTGACAAGCTAAGGAATGTAAATATTGCTGGCATTATGAAAATCTAGAAATGAAGTCAAGAATAGGTTCTGCTTTCATGGCCCTCAGAAGAAATCAACCAAACCAATTCCTTGATTTTGGACTTTTAGCCTCCAGAACTATGGGGAGTGAATTTCTATTGTTTTAAGTAATCCAGTCTGTGGTACTTTGTTATGGCGGTACTAGAAAATGAATACAAAATATTTTAAAATAGGGTTGATTCTTATAGGACTATTCTACCATTCCCAGCAGAACCAGGAGAGCATGGTAGGAAATATACATACAGGATGTAGACTTGGAATGAGGCAGAGTGCCCCTGCTTCATTGCAGCCAAGATTGTATTCTTAAGCTACCCTTGTTCATTTCTTTTCCTTCCCCTCCCATCTTTCCAGAAGCCTCTGTAAGATAAATTCCATACCCCTGACGGTATCGAACCTGTGATCATAAAAATCACATTTCCTTCTCATTTCTACTTGTGTAGAGATGCCTAAACACACATTTTGAATCATCATTTAGTTGTGTCACAATAAAAATGTCAAGTTTGAAGGATATACCATGACCAAAATTATACACAGATATTCTGGATGTAGCCAGGGAATACTATGTAGGAAGTTAATAATTAGGGAGGAAAGAAAATTATTTGTTTTCTTACCATTCTTCTTAAAGAGGGTGATTTTTGTAGTACCTTTGAAGTCTTGGGGCTTGTAACCTAAATAAAACACATTTAGTTTTTAGGATTAATGTTGGAAAGACAAACATATGCTGCTATTGGAAGTAAAAACTAGTACAATCTTTATGGAAAATATTTTGGAATATTTACCAAATTATAAAATAAATATGTACTTTAATCCAGCAATTCCAAATCTACAAATTTATCCTACAAATATACTTCATTTTTGAAAAGTGACATAAAACAAGTTTATTCACTGATATAAAACTCTTCAAAAGCCTGGATAGCATCTAACTGTTCATAATATGGGGTAGCTTAAATAAATTATGATGTGTCTGTGGAATATCGTGCAAAAGAAGCAGAGAAGAAGGCTTTGTGGACCGGTGTGGAATAATCACCAAGATGCAGGACAGTGTTTTACGTGTGTTATGTCATTCATGGAAAAAAGTGGGGAGGACATTTACTCATATCCGCTTGTATGCGCATAGTTTTCTCCGGAAGTACATACACCTGCAAGTTCCTGTGGACATACAACCTGCATTGGTAGCATCATTTGTCTCTGAGAGAGGAAGTCAAGGTATCCAATTTTTATTCTATTGTCTTTCTTACCTTTTGAATTGTTTAACCTTTCAATGAACTGTCTATTCCAATCAAACTTAAGAATTAAAAACATGGTATAGTACAAGAGAACTGAAGAAAGACTACTTCTTCATCTTTAAGTGTTGCTTCCATGATACTTATAACTTTTAAATTCTGCCTTGGTTCTAATTTACAATTAAAATAATTTATGTTCATATAGCATTGTACAATTTACAAAGTGCTTAGACACATTTTAGGAGTTGATGCTAATGATAACTCTGTGAGATAGAAAACATTACTTCCTCCACCCCCACTCCAATTTATAATTGAGATTCAAATAAAAACTGAGATTCAAATAAAAACTAATTCGCCAAGGCTCCTACAGCAAAGCCTCACTTGACCTCAGTTTCAGCTCTGAACATATCATACTTTGCCATTAAAATTGTTCACAGTGAAAATGGCAGAGTAAGGAGTCCAAAAGACTGTCTCTCCATAAAAGCAATGAATAAAGTGGCAAAAATTGTTGGTATCAACTTTTTCAGAACTCTGGATACCACTCCGGAGGTTGCAACCAGAGCGTGCCTAAGTAAGAAAAACAGCTGAATCTTGGTAAGAACAGTAAGCTTTATGGCTTTTTAACTTACACTTTTCCCATCTCTGTTCCCTAGCTCATTAATAGCCTTGAAAATAACAGCCTGCATTCCTGGTACAGGTCATAGAGGGAGCAAACGACACTCACTCACAAAGAATAATTATTTGTTCTGATCTGTCTCATGGTTCCCTGGAACACTGGCTCAAAAGGACTGCCTTTAGCTTGCCTAACTTGGAACCTGATCAAGGATAAAATAGTATAATGTTGAAAACATCTATAGGCAAATGTTTTATCACTGCTGTCTGATGCAGTGAGTAAGAGTTATGGGGGAAAGAGACTAAAAAGCTTTAGAGGTAAGCCTAGAGATCCACATACTTTGAGAAATTAGGGCTCTGAAAAGCTCCAACATATTCCAGAGAATCCAGAAGGCCATGTACATGTCCAAGGCTGTGCACATGGTTCAGGAAAGACCTGAAAAGAACTTGAACTCTCACCTCTAGCTGACATTCAGGCTCTGTCCTGCCTTCTTACTTAATATTTTACAGAAAGTTCTAGTCAGGGCAATTTAGCAAGAAAAAGGAATAAAAGGCACCCAGATTGGAAAGGAAGAAGGAAAATTCTCATCATAGAAAGCATAACATTATCTTATAGAATCTACACAAACAAAAATAAACTTTTAGAACTAATAAAAGAATTCAGCAAAATTGCAGGATACAACATCAATATATAAAATTCAGTTGTATTTTCATATACTAACACTTAAACACCCAAAAATTAATAAAGAAAATATCATTTTCAATCGTATCAAAAAAACTGTGTGATCAAGAAAGTGCAAGACTAATACACTGAAAACTATGAAACACTGAAAAAATTATAGAGAACTTTAAAAAATGGAAAGACAACTCATTCTCATATACTGGAAAGCTTAATATTATTAGAGTGGCAATACTTCCAAATTAATCTACATATCCAATTCAATCCCTATCAAAATCCCAAGTACGTTTTTTGCAGAAATGAAAAAGTTGCTTCTAAAATTCATACGGGAATCCATGGAATCCAAAATAACAAAAGTTATTTGAAAAATTAAAAGTTGGAGTGCTTACATTTTTCAATTTCAAAACTTAAAACAAAGGTACAGCCCGGCTGATGTGGCTCAGTGGTTGAGCATCGACTTATGAACCAGGAGGTCAAGGTTTGATTCCTGGTCAGGACACATGCCCAGGTTGCAGGCTCAATCCCTAGTGGGGGCGTGCAGGAGGCAGTCAATCAATGATGCTCTCATCATTGATGTTTCTATCTTTCCCTCTCCCATCCTCTCTGAAATCATTAAAAAATATTAAAAAAACACACAAAGGTACAGTAATCAAAACAAGGTGATACTGACATATGAATAGCCATATAGATCAATGGAACATAATTAAGATTGTAGAAATAAAGTTATACATCTATTATAAATTAATTTTTGACAAAAGTGCCAAGACCATTTATATATTTGGGGAAAGAATAGTCTTTTCAACAAATGGTGCTGGGATAACTGGGCAGCCACATGTAAAAGAATGAATGTGTACCCCTACCTCATATTATCTCGTAAAAACTCAAAATGAAACAAACATATATATATATATGTTTTTTATATATAAATATAAACTAAAACTATAAAATTCTTAGACAAAAACATAGGGTTAAATCTTTATGATCTTGGATTTGACAAAGGATTCTTAGAGATGACAACAAAAACATGATCAACAAAAATAGATACAATTACACTTCATCATAAAAACCTTTGTGTGTCAAAGGACACAAATATTTTCAAACTACACATCTGATAAGGGACTTGTATATAGAATATACGAAGTTTTACAACATAATAAAAATTCAAATAACCCAAACAAAAATGAGAAAATATCTGGGTAGATATTTCTCCAAGGAAGATATACAAATGGCCAATAAGCACACGAAAAGATGCTTATATGAGCTGAAGTAGTAATATATGCTACAATATGATGAATCTTGAAAACATTTTGCTAAGTGAAAGATGTCAGACACAAAAGACCATATATTGTATGATTCCATTTATATGAAATGTCCAAAATAGGTAAACTCAGAACAAAAAGTAGATTAATGTTTTTCAGGGGCTGTGGAGAGGGAGTAATGAGGAACGAGTGCTTAATTGGCAAGGGGTTTCTTTTAGGGATGATGAAAATATTATAGAATCCGATGATGGTGATAGTTGCATGACACTGTGAATGCATCAAAACCAATGAATTGTACATTTCAAAATAATTAAAATGGTGAATTTTCTATTATGTGAATTTTTCTCAAAACAATTTTTAAAAATATATAAATGTCTTGGTTCTACTTGATCTAAAGTCACTTTGCCTATTACCAATAAGGGAATACAGCCATTCATCATGATTGTGATAAATCAACCAGCAGCCCTCACCACCTTGGCATTTACCATTCCTTTCCCTGGATGAGCTTTCCCTTCTTTTCTCCCTTCAAAATGCTATCCATCCTTCAACATGCTGCTCGAGTTACACTTTTTCCACGAAGCTGTTCACGATTTCCCATGTTGGAGCACATTTCTTTCTCCTCTGCATGGTCCTTACACATTGTGTGCACAGTTCATCTGGCACCTAATGCATATCCCTAGCTCTCTACACACCTGTCTCCTACTTTAGGTGTAAATTCCTTTAAGGGGCAAAGTGAGTTTCATGTATCTCTCTATCCTCCTCAAGGTAAAACACTATGCCTGACACTCATAATCATCCTCAAGTTAAATTAAAGCAATAAAGATAATTCTTCTAGCCCTCACCGGTTTGGCTCAGTGATTAGAGCACTGGCCTGCAGTCCAGAGAGTTGGGGTTGCATTCCTGGTCAAGGGCATGTACCTCGGGTGTGGGTTCGATCCCTAGCCCTGCTGGGTTGGTCAGGATACATGCGGGAGGCAACCAATCGATGTGTCTCTCTCACATTGATGTTTTTCTTTCTCTCTCCCCCCCTCCCTTCCACTCTGTCTGAAAACAATGGAAAAATATCTTAGTGTGAGGATATTTTGCACCTCTTTCCATTATTCGCCTCTATACAAACTGTGCTAATGCAAATATTCTTCAGAATGCAATGAATTTACACAAAACAACCTGAGGCTAAGATATTCTTTCAGAATTCGATCACTAAAGAAGTTTCCTTCTCTATGTATCAGATATTTTAAATTCTTAAATCTAATTCATAGGGACTAAAACATCAACTTTCAGTTTTTGTGAGAACCATTTTAGCCTAAAGTACTTGACAGAATAAAACAGTAAGCATGAGAAAGATATTTCAAAAAAGTCAACCAAAATGCATAGCAAAACGAAAAGATCACAGTATTCTGCCATGGACACAATTTCCACAAAGTTTATAGTCGCAAGACTGGCATTTGGTGAGAATATAAAATTTCTGGTTCTAAATGACAAGCTACTTTGTGCCTCACTCTAAGAAATAAAAACCTGGGTTGTAACATTTGCACCCATGTTTATTATTACCTCTCGTTCTATGGTCTTCCTCCTTAGCAATTTTCTGACACTTGGGAGCTGCTTCTTTAACAACATGGTGGCTTCATTCATTCTTCGGACTTGATTGATTAAGAAAGATGGGACCTGGAGAAGAAAAATAGCTTGACCTGAACTTGAATTAAACCTTCCCAGTAGATTCTGTCTTCAGATACGGTAATTCATAGCCACTCAGTATAATGTGGCATTTGTCCTTGTAAAAATTAGAAAAAACTATTAGAATTCATATTTTAAAAGAGAGGCCAAGTTCAGGAGCAGCCCTCAAAGAATGCATAATGATGCTACAAGTAACCTGGGATTATATTCTCATATTTCTTCTCTGTGACTAAGGGCATTGCTTCCTCATGGAGCCATTGTTTCCTGGGTGCTGGTAGACTTCAAACGAGTACATTAAGGTTATCACACTTTTACTCACCTTCCACAGAATTTTCTGGTAGTTAAGCATTAGGCGGATGATGTGGGCTGCAGTGTTTGCTAAGCGTAATTCTTCATAGTCAGAATGCTTGCTTCTGCTGAAGAAAAGGTTTGGTGCCATTATGGTAGAAATGTTCCATATGCTCATTCGGTTCTTTGATTCATTGGCAATCACTTTATTGAAGAATGTCATGAGGGCCTAAGAAGATACAGCATTGTGTCACACTAATGTAAATTATCAAAAGGCACCAATGAACATCTTCATCTATTTCTGTACCCATTTACTGTGCCTCGGGAAAATTGTCAGATTATTCTCAGAAGTACAGAATGGCTAAATGTCATGCTCCCCTTTACTTGCTTAAAAGTGCTGATGAGAAATGTGAATAGTTTTTATGGAGTTTATTATAGTGGAATCTCTATAAATAATAGTTTGCATTTTCTTTTCTTTTATCCTAAACAAGTTTGACAAATACTAAAATTAAATAGTAAACTAGGACTAGAAAATACTGTATCTCAAAAAAGATAAATAACATGTAATGTAATTTCATTTTGAAGAAAAGTAATTAAAAAAAACAACCCTTAATTTAAAGCATCACTGTTAAAAACTACTGTTTTCTTGGGAAAGGAAAATTCATTTTTTCAAAAAAGTGAGTATCTCATTCCTCAGGCCAAATGTAAACACAATTGAAAAAAATTTTAAATTTTACTTAGTGGATATCATTTTTCCATTGTTTTTCAATTTTGGAATCGTCAGTAGACCAAAGGGAAATGCTCACATGCAGCTGTTTTAAAATGTTTTTTTAAAAGCTTTGAGAAAGCTTAATAACAGTTTGGCTAAGCCAACAAAGTATAAATGTTTATCAGACCTTCTGAAATTCACCAAGAGGACTGAAATCCTGAAGGGAAATGCTCTTTAGTTTTTCAAGTTTGAATTCTGCTGTAGTATTTGTAATGAGAAAATGGATAGCACATAAGAATAATAATAGTTAACATTTATCTGAGGGTTTATTATGAGCCAGGCATTATTCTTAGTACTTTATATATATCCACTGATTTTATCATATTTCAAAATCTTGTGTGGTAGGTACCAATATTAATATAGTTTTATAGATGAGAAACTAAGGTGGAGAAGAATTGATAGTCTTGTCAAGCATCAGTTCATTAAGTAGCAAAGCCAGGATTTGAACTGAAGACATCTGATTCTTGAGTCAGAGCTCTTGATTTCTATGTATACCACACCAATGTCAATCTAGTTCCAGTCACAATTTAGAATGGGAGAGAGCAAAGGATGGGGGGAAGAGGGCAGGGGGGAGGGAGGCAAGGGAGGGAGGGAGAGAGAGAGAGAGAGAGAGAGAGAGAGAGAGAGAGAGAGAGGGAGGGAGAGAGAGAGAGAGAGAGAGAGAGAGAGAGGAGAGAGAGATTCTTCAAAAGTTCCATAATGTTTTTTGAAGATATTCTGTTAGAAATGTAATGAATTTCCTGATAATTACTACATCCTCAATTATATGAAAGGATAGATAATATTTTGACTGAGATATCTGAAACCTGATGCATTTTTTTTGGATAAAAGATCATTGCTTAGACAAAGTAAAAAACTAATAAATTCCAGCTTTTGAAAAATTACCAAATTGTATTAGAGAAAGGTTCTTATGTCATAGCCAACCCCCATCTTTGGATTGAGGATATAATTAACATATAATTAACATAGGTGTTTTCACTATGTGGGAGGAAGGGTCCTCGTCAAATTAAAATGTCTGATAAGAGGCAGCATTAAGAATCATATTTAGCCCTGACCAGTTTGGCTCAGTGGATAGAGCGTTGGCCTGCGGACTGAAGGGTCCCAGGTTTGATTCCAGTCAAGGGCATGTACCTTGGTTTCGGGCACATCCCCAGTAGGGGATGTGCAGAAGGCAGCTGATCGATGTTTCTAACTCTCTATTCCTCTCTGTAAAAAATCAATAAAATACATTTTTTTAAAAGAATCATATTTGTTTTTAGCATTATGTTTACTGGTCTCAAAATTATTGGCTCTTTCTAACTCATCTAACCTCATTTCAAAGATTCTCAACACCTATCATAATTATAACAAATGCCCTATCGTATACAGAATCACTATCAAAATAGCAAGAGAAACTTTGATTTTTTACCATCATACAGCAACAGAATGAATTTGAAATGAAGGGAGGGATTGTGGGATGAAGAACTATGGAACAGGATTCTATCAAATGTTCTATCATATATTAATGGAGAAATCACTTTTCTGAGTTTAATTTTCCTAATCCATAAAATGACAAGTTCCTAGCTTGTAACCTCTAAAATTCAGAGATTGTAGAATTCTTTAAATTGAATTTGCAAATGTTAAGGCACGAACATTTAAAAAAATTAAATCACTGATTTTAAAATTCCTCCCCAAGTACACTCCTCAGATCTTTTGCCACTAGACTGAGGTGGGCAGCTGAGGACCAGCAATCATAGAGTTTTATATTTTACAACTTACATAATATTCTTGTTTATTTCTGACATGATCCTACTTAAGTCTTCCATGTTTGCTTTTCCTAATCCTAACCCTCACCCAGGGCCTGGCACATGGTAGACATTCAATATCTAACAGATTGAATGGATGACACTGAAATGTTCAAGGAAGACTCCAGGATTTACATTCTTTCTTGTCTTCCTCCGGAGAAGCAGTGGGAGCATGGAAGGGAACAGGTTCACAGCATGCTCAGCTTGTTTTTCACTTTTCCATCTGAGCCATTTCCTCTGACCAACAAGAGCCAATGATAAAACATGAGGTCAATACAACATACCTGAGCGGTGTCCCTGTTGGCATCAGGCAGTGCCATGACCATGAGGTGTAAGGCTTGAAACTGGACTTTGATGTGAGGCCCTCCTAACAAGAAAACAGAAATAACCACTCATTTGGAACACGACTGATGTATCCTGACAGCATTCCTCGCTACGTCTGGTGGCAGAGGAGGGCTCCTGACAGCTCTCGGTGCTAAGGACTCAGTTTTTTGTGCCCAACAATTAAATTTGTTCGTGTGGACAGTCTATCAGCTCCCCTCTCACATCCCGTGATGCCACTGTAGAGGCAGGTGGCCAAGATCCTCAAAATAATCCTGGATTTGTATAACATTTCCCATTTCGAAGTGCTTTCACAGGCCTTGCTTTACTTTTATGCTATAAACAGAAAGCTTGAAGCTCAATTCAAGAGAAAATAAATCTTGTTTCCACATAAAGAAGCAGCAAAATATAATTATTAGGAACATGGGCCATATCCTGCAGGCACTGCTTAGTCACTGAGTGACCTTGGGCAGGCGATTTAACCCCTCGTTGCTTCTATTTTATCATTTGCAAAATGGAAGTAGTCTTTCCACCTCCCTCACTGGCTGTTATAAAATTTAAATGACTTAAAACTCAAAATGGAGTAAAGACTTATACGAAAGACCTGGAACCATAAAACTCCTAGAAGAAAGCATTGGTAGTGGGTCCTCGACATAGGTCTCGGTGATGAATTTCTGAATCTGACACCAAAAGCAAAAGCAGCAGAAAGAAAAATTAACAAGTAGGACTATATCAAACTCAACAGCATTTATACAGGAAAGGATACCATCCACAAAATGAAAAGGCAACCTGCTGAATGTCAGAAACATTTGCAAATCATTACGTCTGTGAATCATTATATATTAAGGGGCAAATATCCAAAACATAAAGAATTAATACAACTCAATAGCAAAAAACCCCAAACAATCTGATTTAAAAATGGGCAGAAGAACAGTCATTTTTCCAAAGACATATAGGTGGCCAACAGGTACAAGAAAAGATGCTCACCATCATTAATCATCAGGGAAATGCAAATCAAACCACAATGAAATATTACCTCACACCTGTTAGAATGGCTATTATAAAAAAAGACAATAACAGGTGTTGGCAGGGATATGGAGAAAAGGGAACCCTTGTGTACAGTTGGTGGGAATGTAAATTGGTACAGCCACTATGGAAAACAGGATGGAGGTGCCTCAAAAAATTAAAACAAATTTGTCATATGATACAGCAAATCACTTCTGGGTATTTAATCTAAGAAAATGAAAACACTAACTGGAAAAGACATATGCATCCCAATGTTCACTGCAGCATTATTTACATTAGTCAGAATATGGAAACAACCCAAGTGTCCAATTATAGATAAATGGAAAAAGAGAATGTGCTACACATACTGGTACACACACACACACACACACACACACACACACACACACACACTGGATATTATTCAGCCATAAAAAATGAAACCTTGCCATTTGCAATAACATGGATGGAGCTTGAGGGCATTGTGCTAAGTGAAATAAGTCAGACAGAGAAAGACTAATAGCATCTGATCTCCCTTATCTGTGGACTCTAAAGCTAAAAAATACCCTCCAAAAAACAACACCTTTTCAAAAAAACAAATTCATAGATACAAAGGACAGCTTTGGGGAAAAAACCCAAACATTACTGAAACCTACTTAAGGCATTGTGATTTGGGCAATTACATAAAATCCAGTTATAAATGCTCCAATTATACTTGAAGTGGGATTGTGATCCATGCCCTATCCTTTATAGTTTTTCCTGGGTTGTGATAATTACAGAAATGGCAAGATTTTATCACCAGTTGAGTCTCTCAGGGGATTTTTTTGCCACCAATAATTTTGAAAAGTTTGGACCAATTTGCCTTTGCCATTGTGTATGCTTTATGTAGTATGTGGACTAAAGTGCTGGACATTTACTTTGGTGCCGCTGGGTAAATGTTTTGGGAATGCCCCATCCATTGCTGTGTAAGAGACAGTGCTGAAATATCTTCTATTTAATGTAGGGACAGATTATTACATATGAATTAGTACCTCTTATTAAAGTATGGATTCATGAAATCAGAGAAGAAACCTGTTAACACCAAGAGCAACAAGAGGTACTCTTGTGCATAGTGGTTTATGGATAGAGTAATCCCTTTAGCTTAAGAACTGTGGTCTTTACATATGCATGCATATAAGCATAACCAATGGACACAGACAGTAGGGGAGTGAGGGCATGTGCTGGATGTGCTGGGGGGTGGGAGTGGCTGGGGAGAGGTCAATGGGGGGAAAGGAGACATATGTAATACTTTAAACAATAAAAATTAAAAAAGAAATAAAGAAAACAATAAATGTGGGCTTTATTTCATAACTAAGATTTCCTTTGTATGTTAGACTGCCTCTAAAAATTCATTTGTTTCTTCTTCATGTGGGGGTGTCTCAGGAACTTAGGAAGTCTCTTTGTTTTCACATCATGCCTGTAGTGGGACAGGGAACATGATGCCAGTATGCATCCCCCCTTCAGGACTGAAGGATCTAACCCCTCAGCTGGCAGCTCTTCCTAGAAACGGCTCTCCCAGGCTGATTTGCCTAAGGTCATGCTGTCTTCTGAGGTTCAGTCTATATCCACTCACAGCCTGATTCAGAATAAAAATATCCACCATTCTCCCTGCACTGGGAAACCATTCTGAAAGGCCACCCAGCTTCAGAGCTCTCTAGAGGGTTGCATGAGGGCTTGGCTCAGACTGCACCACTGCCCAGCCTTATCCTCTGCCCAATTCTGCTTCCTTACCCTTCCCTTTCAGAAGTGTGGAACCCAAGTATATACTCTAATAAATGTTCCATACATACTATGAGATGCTGCTTCTGGGGAATCCAACAAGGCTTCAATCATGAGCCATTTCTAAGGCATATTATCAGCAAAGATGATAACTCAAAACTTTAACCAAGGTAGCTTCTGTAAACAGAATGCCCGGCATTAAAAAGGAAAGATTAAATAAGTTACTATGTGTAGAATGTTCACATCAGTGCCTCTAAGTCACTACTTCTATGTGTGTTTTCTCTTGTTCTGATTAGTGACACGTATTCTAGATCTTAAATGGACATTTAGGGAAGGTGATTCTATTTGGATCTCTGGAGATTGTTGATATTTTATTCCTTGACAATGACAGAAGATGGCGCTAGACGTTTGGCATTTATGCTTTTGTTCTCATTGCCAACTCTTCCCATTTCAGGGAAGGGATTTTAGCAATTCTATCCACAACTGGTTAATCTACAACCAGCTGTGCTGAAAAATGTGGAGTTTACTATAGCATCCAGGTTTTGCTTTGTCTCTCTGTATTCTCCTCAAAATGGCCTCTTAGTGGGGAGTTCCTGGCAGGAAGCATTATGTTCGAGAATCCCTGGGGAGTTCTCAAGTTGATGAAAAATCTATCTATGTATAGTCAATGGATGAAAGGCAGTCAGCTGCTTCTAGTCACTTAGCTTCACAATACTGGCAACACTCCTGTGACCAGGTACTTGTTACAAGAGGTTGTGTGCACCCAAGTTAGGAGTAGATGACAAATACAAATAACCACATAATGAAGGAGCAGTTGGAAGGAGTATTTAGGGGATTGTGTCATATTTTCTCAGCACAATCCCCATGTGGATTTCTAGAGATTTATGTCAAATTTGTAAACAAAAATGACACAGGTGCAGGATATTTCTGAAAACAGCTAATGCATGCTGACATGAGTTTGACTAAATAACAGGACTATCAGGAGCACATCTCAGTACAAGTATTTAGGGACAGAGAAAGTATTATTTTAACAAGAACACAGCAGGCTAAGGGCTGTCAATAATCTTCCAATGTAATCCCCAAAAACGTCTATGGGGGAGATAACAGATGCAGACTGTATCTCCGTCAATTTCAAATAAATTATAAAGTTCCTGTTAAGATTAAAAATCTTAACTGGCAAATAATCCATTTTCATTTTATTTAGGAAACCTGGCCCTACTCTGTTTTGTGTTTAATGGTTTGGTACTTAATTCATTTACTGCATCCTAGTTAAGTCTTTTTTGTCCTGAGGTCATTATTTCCTTAGAAAGCTATCAACGTTTTCATGCAAATATCTCAGGTTTGATTGATGAACTATTAGTCCTTTAATTTTATGGACAATATTTGTTCCAAGTTTGAAAATATAAAGTAATTACTTTATATTGGAAGTGATTCTATATCCTAGTGGAAGTGACTCTATATCCTCTATACTCTGTTTCAGAGTATGAAGAGGGGCAGAGTTAACATACATACCCACGTCTATAATTCTTCATTTCAGAAAATCTCATTACAACTGAAGTTTACTCTACCTGGCAAAAAGGCTGTATTCCCTGCTGGTAGTAGCCCTGACCTTTGGGCTTCCCTGTGGGGTTGGCTGGTTTCAAATCACTCACTGTAATGTAGTACTTTTCACTTTCAAAATCACACAAAGAACTATGGACTCCTCTGTGAACCTTTTCAGGATACTTTCCAGATTCTCTCCCTTAAATGAAGTGTACTGGCTGCAGACAGATAGGGAAGAGCAGAGCTGAGCAGTGGCTGCTTCATTATTTGGGGCGTGTCCTCTCAGTCTGCCCACAGCCCTTTTCTGTCCACATAGAATCACCATTTACTTAACAGGCTTGTACAGTTAGTCCTCGAATAACATCATCGCATTCAACATTGTTTCATCATAACTTAACTCTTGTTTACATCAATTAGCCTATGGTTTCCTCATAATTGTTTCACTTAAAGTTGCAGAATCTATCAATGACAAGTGAGGATTTACTGTACATATTTAGGTCTGTGATCCCTGAATTCCTCAGATTAGTAGTGAAAGCCCCACTATCTAGCTCCATTCTACTTTTCTAAATTTCTCTCTTGTCACACCCTCTGAAATATTCAACCCTTAGGCTGAAGCCATGACAAATCATTCCCTCATTGCCAAACACAACACATACTTTCCATTGCTATACTTTTATCACAGTACTCACTTAAGGCCGAATCTATGTGTCTTTGTAATTTTCAGAAGTACTTTGTGATATAATTTTCAAAGAAAAGACACATTCTGTATAACATTTATTATGTGTTACATCATCAGGGCAGGATTTTAGATTCAAAGAATAGAGAGGACTTATATTTTTTAAGGACAATTACACACCAGACACTATTCTAATGTTTTCACCCAATAGCCACAACAACGCTGACACATAACTATCAACTGCAATTTAAAGGCACACCAATGAAGCCCAGAAAGGTTCATTGCATGGCTAACAATTGGTTGAGCAGGAATTTAAATCTCGAGAGTCTATTCCTTCTGCAAACCCCTCTACCTTTTAATGATTATAAAACTCTCTAAATCATATCTATCAGACTAATTATGTAAAGAGATGACTGCTTACCATCAAACACAGTATTTCACCAAGCATTGCCAGGAAAGAGCAAATACACACTTCGGATCACATTTTATTTTGTATCTTTCTTCTACTCTAAGTCACTTTATTGACCTTATAGCTTAGTCCATTCACACTTAACATCTTCCACCTACTTTCCATTAGAGTGATGAAGGCAGGTATATATTCCACAGGGAAGAGAGAAGTGGGTAATTCTCTGAAAAAGGCTTTCAACATCACTGCCGCTTCTCTATGGCACATTTTGTCCCATTTAAATTTGTCAGTATTAAACTTGGCATCCAGTTCTTCACGGTATTGCTGAAAATCAAGGAAAACAGTCAATATTTAATGAGCTTTTACCACCTGATGCCCTCCACCCCACTTTGAAAGCTGTTCACACACAAACTATTAAAAAGCCTAACTTTTCCCAAAATGATTAAAGAACTGAAATAGTCATTTCTGAATTAATTTTTTAAATATATTTTATTGATTTTTTACAGAGAGGAAGGGAGAGGGACAGAGAGTTAGAAACATCGATGAGAGAGAAACATTGATAATCTGTCTCCTGCACACCCCCTACTGGGGATGTGCCCGCAACCAAGGTACATGCCCTTGACTGGAATCGAACCGGGGACCCTTCAGTCCGCAGGCCGATGCTCTAATCCACTGAGCCAAACCAGTTAGGGCCCTGAATTAATTTTTAAAAATGGTTTTCTAGAATCTTTTTGAACAATGTTAATCTTGAAATCATTTGCTAATTCTACACAAATATAAGAATTTTTTCCTCAGGTCATAATTTCATTTATGTGGTTTTGGCAGAATGCCACCTATCCCTACATGATAATGCAGTTATATTGTTAGATTTTGACAAAGACTCCATTTCTTTTCTATCCTGGTCATCTAGAATTTCTAAATTAGATCATGAATGTATGCCTCTCAGTTAATTCACATCCAGAATAAAGAAACTGATCTCATTCAACCTACAAACCAATGACATCTTCCTGGAGCAGTTACGGCAAAGTTTTAAGCCAAGACATACACATGTCTCCCACATGTGTGCATGCTTGTCCAATCCTTCAGAAGGTTTGGAACATTGTGTAAATACTTTAAGAAACAAAACACTAAGCCTCCTTAAGTTCTACTTGGGTGATACATTTTACATTATCAATTCATTGGATCAGTGCCACCAATTCTTCATGTTTCTTTTTCAAAGTCAAACTCACTTTCTACTGCTTCCTTCAACTACAGATGTTACTATTAATAGCAGATAGTTAAGTCAATTCCCTGGTTGACCCTAACAGTTCCAAAAAGGATACTTACAATGCAACTTTGAAAACTCTCAATTTCTTTAAGATCCCTGCTTTATTCCTATGAGAAGCCTAATTCTTCCAGTCTTTAGACATGCATAGCCAGAGTCAGTTTTTAAATCAGACTTTTTCCTCCTAAGGAGCAGCTCATTAACCACCCCAGAAATAAATGCTCTCATGGCTCCCAGAGCCTGCAAAACATGGGTGCCTTGGCAGGACACGTCTTTAATAGACACAGACATGATTTCAAGCCATCTTTTGATGACATCGAGAGATTTTTCTTATTTTCCTTGAGAAGCTCTCAATATACAGCTAATAAATCAACCTCTGCTGATAAATTCACTTAGTAAAGCATTGAAGCATACATATAAAACTCTTGCCGAATAAAAGAGAGTGTAGACTGGGATCTAAGAAAAGGAGGATGCATGAGATAGATTCTTTGCCTTGAGGCATCTTGTAGTTCAGTGGATACAACTATTTCATGTACTCATAATGCTAACTTAGGGTGTTAAATACTCTAAGAAAGGTCACGTATTGAATGCTATGAATTCATGAAAGAATCAAACTCTGCTAGAGCAAGGTCATGAAGGCTAGTAAGGAGCTTGCCAGAACAGGAAATAGAAGGGTGTCATGGACAGAAGAAACTGCTCAAGTAGTGATACAAATCCAAGGAGGGCCAGGGGGCCTGGGGAACTCCAATTAGTTCAGTGTTGCTGGTGCATCACAGGCAAGGAGGTGAATAAAGAGAAAGATGAGGCTGAGGAATAGACCAGAGGTGACTGGACTTCATTCTGTAGGCAATGAGGCAACATGGACCATCTCCCAGAGAAGGACATGGTAACATTTATCTTTTCTTACAGCCCGATGCAAAAGTGATTTGGAGGAATGTGGTGCTTGTTAAAGAGCAGGCTAAACCTGGCCGACGCTAAGTGGTTAGAGTGTCAGCCACACACTGAAGGGTCTCGGGTTCAATTCCTGGTCAAGGGTACGTACCTTGGTTGTGGGTTCATTCCCTGGCTCTGGTTGGGGGCTGTACAGAAGGCAACCAATTGATGGTCTTTCTCCCATCTCTCTCTCTCCCTCTTTCTCTCTTCCCTCCCTCCCTCCCACTCTCTTTAAAAATCAATTAAACTATCATTGTTGAGGATTAACAAAAAGAAGAGCAGGCTAGAGGCAAGGAAATCAGTTATTGGAAAATTGACGAATATGTGGAGATTAAATAATGTGCTATTGAAAAACCAATGGATCAAAACAGAAATCAAAAGAAAAATAAAAAAATACCTTGAGGCAAACAAAAATGTTATATTTCTAACATACCAAACTTTGTAAGATGCAACAAAAGCAGTTTTAGGAGGGAAGTTCATAGTGATTAAATGCTTACCTCATAAAACAAACAAAAAAATCTCAAATAAACAACCTAACTTTACACTTCAAGTAACTAAAGAAAGAAAAAAAAGCCCAAAGTTATCAGAAGGAAGTTAATAGTGAATATTAGAGCAGAAATAAATTAAAATAGAGATTAAAAAGACAATACAGAAGATCAATGAAACTAAAAACTTTTTATTTGTAAAGATACACAAAATTGAGAAGACTTTACCTAGATTCACCAAGAAAAATGAGAGAACTCAAATAAAATCAGAATTGAAATAGGAGAGGTTATAACTGATACCTCAGAAATACCAAGGATCATAAGGTACTGCTATGAACAATTACATGCCATCACATTGTACAACCTAGAAGAAATAAATTCTTAGAAACATACAATATACCAATTCTGAACCATGATGAAACAGAAAATATGAACAGATAATTACTAGTAAATATAGGAGAAGAAAAATGTTTTTCATCCATTGTTTGGAACCACTGCTGTAAAGCAAAGGGGAAATGGTGTTCAAGTGGGCAGGAAGCACCAGCGAGGGCAAAATAATTCAAATTCATTTCCTACATGCCTCTGCCATAGGAAGCCATCTGAACACTAACGTGGCCATCATTCTAACAGGATCCCTGTCACATAAAAAGCAATATGGCTCTAGTGTCAAAAGCAGGCTCTATAACCTGATTCTTTAGGTTTTTATCCCAATTCCACAACTAACTAGTTGTATGGCCTGTGCCTAACTAGTTCCCACTGTTTCACAGGGATATTGAAGTGACCTCAAAGAGATGAAATCAGATGATACGATGTAAAGCTGAGGATACAGGGCCTGTCACTCAGTAAGTGCTCAATAAAGTCCAGCTGTAGCTATGTCCCCTTCTCTTTGTTATAACCCTTAGTGTTGTCACCAAGGGAAACACATGCATATGTGGTTGTGGATATTTGGGTAATAATATCACTTCATTTTGTCTGCTGGCCAGTGTCAAACAAAACAGAGAAAGAATGCCCTCTGTTGGATTTAGGCAGAGCCTAAATTTAGGTTGTTTATTTGAGATTTTTTTGTTTGTTTTATGAGGTAAGCATTGAATCACTATGAACTTCCCTCCTAAAACTGCTTTTGTTGCATCTTACAAAGTTTGGTATGTTAGAAATATAACATTTTTGTTTGCCTCAAGGTATTTTTTTTTTATTTTTCCTTTGATTTCTGTTTTGATCCATTGGTTTTTCAATAGCACATTATTTAATATCCACATATTCGTCAATTTTCCAATAACTGATTTCCAGAGGAGTATAGGAGCAGAGCTGGTAGTTCTGTGGCCCTAAATGTGAAACCACAGAAATCAGGTGTTGAATCGACCTTGCCAAAGGCAGGGAGCACTTAGAGGTTAGAGAATCATGTTTTCTGTCCAATGTTAATGAGAACACCACGCCAGGGTTAGAACCACGTCCTTAAATCTCTGGCAAATAGACAACCTGCTCCCACTTCTGAGATAGTAAAACAGTGCAAAGAACCTGCCTTCAGCTTCAAAAACCAGTGCAGGAAGGGAAACCAGCAGGCCAGGTACTAATTATGAAACATTTGGAGGAGCCCCAGAATAATTCAGAAAAGAAAACCTCACATATCAAACAGTTTTCCTTCTTCCCCAGTGCTTGACTCAAATTTCTGTCATTTGGAGGGGGGTGAGGAGGGGATTATTGAAAACACCAAAGTATTAAATTGGCTCCAAATGATCTGAGGCCTTAAATGCAGGAATGGGCCCCGCAGCGGTGGGCCTGAGTGGGTAACACCAGCAGCTCCCCTAGGCACCACATTCCTGTCGGCCTCACCAGGCCTCAAAAGCACAAGACTGGGCCTGACCGTAACTGAGACATCAGTGTTGGTGTCATCCTCTCGGCACAATGAGAAGAGAATTATAATGTAGTTTTTTGAAATGGTCTTTCCTCAAGCATATTCCCAGAAAAAAATAGTCTAACAGATGAAATTACCAAAAAAAATAGTTTAAAGTTTGAATGAGGAGAGAAATAAAGACCCCTTTACTATATCAAGTTGCAAGGCATTTCTAACTGCATGTTCCCCTGTTTTTGTTCATTGGCCCAGATTTTTTTCACATTGGCTTTCCTGGAGCTCAAACAATGGAAACATCTGGATTCCATTTTTTGGACTAATAAGCGGTGGAATAAGTAGGCTGAAACGACATAAAACTGATTAGGGGAGAAAAGGGACTTCTACCCAATGTGACTCAGAGATGCATGTGCCTATGAGACACTTTCAAGGAATTAATAAGCCAATGATAAGCATTTTCCAATCAAAGATTAGCCGAATAGCCTGGCCAGCATGGCTCAGTGGTTGAGCGTCAATCTATGAATCAGGAAGTCATGGTTGGATTCCAGGTTAGGGCACATGCCTAGGTTGCAAGCTCAATCCCCAGTGTGGGGCATACAGGAGGCAGGCAATCAATGATTCTCTCTCATCATTGATGTTTCTATCTCTCCCTCTCCCTTCCTCTCTGAAATCAATAAAAATATATTTTTTTAAAAGATTAACCAAATATAACCAAAGATTTAACCAAAAGTAGTGATAGCCTTCATCCTCGGCCTGAGGATATGCTTGCTCAGCAGTATATAACCACCACATCTATGAGAACCTGAGATGAAAGCAGATTCAATTTAGAAAGTATATACTTGAAGGAGCCACTAGGGATTTCCCTGCCTTTCACATGAACTTGTGCCAGTATTTAGGAATCTCTACTGGCAGGGAAGTCACAACTCCCCCAAATGCCCTTCTCCCTTCTGCCACTGACAAAGTATGGTGCCCTTCTCAGATCTCCCTTCAGAAAAGAACTTGCTGATCATCTGCAAAAATCCAGGTAGCTGACTACCCAGCTGTTGGGACTTTCTGGTCTGCCCAGCCCCTCCTCCACAGAAAGCCCTGGCTGTGATTGAGTGTGGTGTCGGGGCTAGGGCCTGGCCCATCTGCTCAGTGCAGGGCTGATTCATGGGACAGGAGGAACTGTCAGACCTGAACTGTGGTCTGAGGCTCAGCCTGCCCAATCCTGCCTCCATCCCCTTTTCTTACAGAAGCGCTACCCCCAATAACGCTCTTCTCCTCACTTCATCCCAGCATCTGCTTTCTGGACCTTCCAACAGACACAGCCTTTTTTCTAGTTTCCACTTAGAAAAACATCTTCTCAGATTTCTATATAAAAGCTCGGAGACTTCTGATAGAAAAATGAAGAGATGCTTTTCTGCCTTTATGCATTTCCTTTTAATAGTTCTAAACAGAATCGGGTTCACTTTTCCCTCTCCCTGGACATTTTTCTGAGGGACTCATCATTTAATGTGCGCATGTTTCTATGTCCACCAGCCAGAGAGTGGTCCGCGGGCAGGAAGGAATTCTTCATTGTGTATGCCCACCAGTAGATAAAGTGGCATATCCTCCTGGGAATTTATGAAAAAAAGATTTTATTTTCTAATGATTCTTTTCTTTACTGAATGGTAGAGTTTGCACCATACAGAAGTAAGAAAGCAAAGTAAAGGACTCACATTGCATGGGTGCTTTTATTTTTTATTTATTTATAATATTTTATTGATTTCAGAGAGGCAGGGAGAGGGAGAGAGAGACAGAAACATCAATGATGAGAGAGAATCACTGATCAGCTGTCTCCTGCATGTACCACACTGGGGATTGAGCCTGCAAAACCTGGGCATGTGCCCAGACCAGGAATCGAACCATGACGTCCTGGTTCATAGATTGACGCTCACCTACTTAGCCACACCGGCTGGGCACACGAGTGTTTTTATATGTAGAAATTAACATTACTTTAAGTGGAATTGGGCTTTAGAACTACTGAGTATTGTAGTGGTTATGGTCATTCCTACAAATTCTTATAAGGATGTTCATTAAAAAGAGAGCCAAAGAATATTTCTCAATCTAACGCAACTGGTAATGGAAATAAGGGCTCATATAATAATTGGCTTAATGAATTCCATGAGTGAGAGGGACACAGCAAATTAAAGCGTTCAACACCAAAAACAGTGATGGGACATTTCAACTTTCCAAACTGAAGACAACGGCAGTGCTGATGGTGAATTGATGTGTCATTTCACTGTTGTTGGTTTTTAATTGTTTTAATTTAAAAGAATACACAGGACTATAAACAACATCTAATCATAGGTAAGGAGGAAAACTAGGTAAGGCCAAGTGATAGTATCAAAACAACAAAGGACTTGATACCCGATGCTTGTGTGACCTGGGTCTAGCTAGCTTAGATCTCTAACTAAGAAGAGAAAAATAACGTTTGTTACCTTGACTTTGGCAGTACATCCTGAAAGTCGAAAAATTCCTTCAGATTCCAAACCCGATTCCTCAACCTTCTCAAAAAACTAGAAAACAATGATACATTACAAAAATAAATACCTCCAATATGACTGCAAACATCTGAAATAACACTGTTGATGACAACAAATGATAAATTACCAAGCATACATATGTGCCTGGTACTTGAATGCCTTGTTAAGTTTTCACAATCACCCTATGAGGCCAACATTAGCCTCTGATTTGCAAATGAGGAAATGGAGACTTAGAGCTGTTCTATCTTTCCCAAGATTAACCATCAAAGTAATGGCACTGACACTCTCAACTTGTGCTCTTCACCACCAATATATGCTGCCACTTCACTATTTTAAGGTCTGATTACTACACCTCTTTCTGCAGATTGGCCAGTAAGAAAATATTCTAAATTCACTATCATGAGTTACAACCACTCTGGCTAAGGAATTATAGGAACTCTAGAAATACAACCAAGGGGGGAGAAATTATAAAGGGTTATAGCTCCCATGATCTCTCATGGTGATGGTGTTAAAATCAGTATCATCATCATAACTATTAACAGTGATTGTGTACTTTTTGTGTGTTAGATGCCATTCTCAGTACTTTACATCTATCAGCTCATTTAAATCCTCACAATAAGGCTGAGGAAGGTACTATTAGAATCCTCATTCCACGGCTGAGGAGACTGAGGCATGGTAAGGATGAATACTTGCCCAGCTTCACACAAGAGTCTCTTGCTATTTTTCCTTTAAGACATAATTCCTGGAACTAAGGTAGCTCTTGCAGGCATGGAGAGAAATAGATGTTTAAGGGGAAGAAACACATCCACAAGAAAAGACTCTCCCATAGAAGTGGAAAGGTAATACCTCAAATTGTCTTAAATGAGGAACACTTCACACCAGTAGGAATAATAGCTGACATTTGTTGAGTTGCTAATACAATATAAATCCGGACTTAGTTTAACTAGCATTTATTGTTCACCATCCATTTGCTATGTCCTGTGCTAGGTTTCTGCACTTACACAACAATATAAGTTCATGTACTGAATATTCTCAGTCTTAGATTTTTATGCATTTTTTCTTAAAACTCTGTCTTGTACAGAGAGGACAAAGGACATAATTCTGGTTCTAATTCAGGAAGAAAAGAAAAATCTTAGAGTCACCATGAACCGTGGCCTTGGATATATACTGAACTCCTTTTCCCATCTACCTCTTGCTAGCTTGTGTTCATGGTTAAATTACCCTGCCCTACTATTGCCTCAGTTGCTTTATCAGTAGAAGGGACACGATGACACCAACCTCCTCTGGCTGCTCAGAGCTGAGGAGACGTGATAGGATATGGAAGGCACTGGCACAGCCCCGTGCAGGAGAGGCACCCTACAGATGGCCCCCATGCACACTGGCATGTTGCTGGCATCCTCTGCCATCCTCCCTGCTCCCACTGGCAGCTAACTAATCACCTAATTTGAGGAGTAGTTCAACTTTAATTAGTGGTAACAAAATTTAGAAAGATAGCGAAGAGATGGAGAATTATTACTGTGAATAATGCAAACATATGTTTCCTCAAGCAATATTTTCACATATCATTTACTAGTAAAACCTCAATTTAAAATTCAATAAGACTTATGTTTAGGGCTTGGAATTTTAATTATGCCACTGGATGTCACTGTTAAATAAATGCATACTTAGGTAAACTGGTGTAAATTGTTGGGTATAAAAAAACATGACTTAAAAGCAAATGTGCCATTCACCAATGATAGGGAGATATTAGCATATGATAGTTCAAATCATATCACTTCTAAAATATCCCAAATCGAAATTCCTCTTTGTCTAATTGTATCAAATCTTCCCAGTCATACCTAAAAAACTATCATAACAAGCTGATTTTTAGATTTTATTAAGCTTTGTTTGGAAAATTCATCTAAATGATTACAAATACACATTTTGAAATGCCCAACCTATGATACAGTTCAGCAAATACTTGTATGATCAGTAAATAGATTGCTGATCATTGTTTTATTTTATCTCAGACAGAATAATCAAATACACATAAAGACATACATACACACAAATAATATTTTTTTAAAATACTGAATAAACCAGATATAACCAAAGTAAGCCATGTGACAGAGCATCTGTGTCCACCACCTGATGCTTTATGGTCAACAGGCTCCAGAAGTTCACCACAAGGCAAACTGGTCCAAGTACTTGTGGGATGGCAGGGGCTTCATGGAAGGAAACTGAAAATGGCCTGGGCCTGAGTCCTAACAGGGCTTAGCTTTAGTGTCCTTAACTCTAAAGGGAAATCCATTAGCAGGTTTACAAATAGCAAACTGCAAGCATGAGGCTCTATTAATCCCCATTCATCTACATTCTACTCACTTTTTGTAACACAAGGGGCACTTTCACTCCAGGGTCCTTCTTCCGGTCACTCTCCAGCAGGACTGTAAGTGGAACTCCAAAAATCCCATTGTCTTCATTGGGAAATAGTTACGAAAGAAAAAAGAATCAGAATAACACTATCTTATTCCAAAGTGTCAAAGCGTTAAAATCAGAAGAAACCAGTCCTCTTAATTACCTCTTCCTTTTACTTTCTCTGTTTTGTTTCTCTTCAGTGGAATTCCAAAGGCATCAAAAAAGGCTGTCAATTCAATCAGAGAGAGGTGGCGGATTTTCTTCATGTCTTCAGCAGACAGATCTCCTGCTTCAGTTAAGCCAAATCTGGTTTTCTGAACAATAAATTTCTAAAATACATATTAAGGATATTTATTTTTTATTGCAAAGAAAAATTACTATGCTTTCACTCAAATGCTACCTGGACATTCTAAATATATATGCTATTTGCAAAAAAAAAAAAAAAATCTCTGAGGAGCATGCTGCATTATAAAAAGATGATGAATGTAATTTCCAGAACATCTGCAGGTTACTACTATGCTAAATGTGAAGCAAAACAGTGGTCTGAAAATACTACAACATTGTCATCCCAACCGTAAAAACTGCTTTCTTCTAAGGACCCTCCTAGATGGTCAACAGCAAACATCCCAGGCATCGCATGGAATGTACACACCATGGGCGCATGTGAGACGGGCATACAGCCACATCATCTAGGTACTCCCCGGAGAGCTTTCAATATATTTTTTACTTTGAACTATCAGTGCTTAAATCAGGCATCATCTGTTCTCTTCTGCATAGTTTAAAATACTGTAATTTCCAAATTGAAACTGATCGCACATGCTGCTGAAAGAGTAGTTATTTTACCTTCAAAATAAAATTTAGGTGATTCCAAATAGTCTTAAAAGAGAAAAATGCAAAGAAAGTGGCAAATAATCCTACTATCACTATGAAGACAATAATATTGTTATATTCTCTATTTCCATACTAGAAAGAAAAATGTACTAAAACAACAAAAAACCCTTCAACAATCCAGAAATATTGTAAAGACTATGCGACCTTTAAAAAGCAAGACTGTTTTTATTAATATATAAGTATTGCTATAAATGTTATATATAAATAATAATAAAATATAAGTACTAAAGAATAAATATATAATCAACATATTATTATATAAGTATAATATATATATATACATATATATATATACACACACACACACATATATATATATAAAGTATATAACTAATACTTTTCTCTCAGAAAACCTAGTATTGGGGAAAAAAAGTTAAAGTAGAAAAATACCATAGTTATTTAAATTACAAAGCTTTAGGTACACAGTCTTTATAGGGATTCCTTAAATTAGAGCTTCCTTGGGGTTTTAAATCCATCCAATTCATTCATTCATTCATTCATTCATTCAATCAATCAACAATTATTCATTGGAACTCCAAGTATTTAAAAGTTAAACAACAAAATGTAGGATGTGTTTTGGGGCATAACTTGTGCTATTAAATGTTTAGTTATTTTATCTTCTTTCTGAGACCAAGGCCCCATATAACAACACATAACAACAACAATATAGACAAGAATCACAATCATTTATTGAGCAATTACTGCATGTTAAACCCTATGCAAAGTTCCTCATGGGAGGGAGGCTGTCCTGTACCCTGGGTGTGCAAAACTTCAGGAGGAGACACACACTTGGATGAGGGGACTGGGGGCAAGTGTCCTCCCTTGGGCAGTTCTCTCTAAAGATTCTGAGGGACTCCCCACGAAACCAGAGTCCCACCGGACTCCCTCTCTTGCTCTAGAATGCCCCTGTGTCCTTCACCATAGAGGCTGCTTAGAGACCAAGAGGGTTTTGGGAGTTGAACACACATAGGTTCAAATCCTGTTTCTGCGATCTACTAGATATGGGCTGCTTAGCTTCTTTGGGCCTGTTTCTCAGCTGAAAAATGGGACAAATCACAGGAATGATTACAGCTGAATACCTAGTGCAGTGACAAGCCCATAGAAGGCACTCAGCGAGTCTTACAGTTCTTGCCCTGCTCCTTCTTCCTCTCCATCATGGGATGCTTGTCTGGGAGAGATCCAGGCCTCCTGGGGCAGACCACCTGTTTCTAGATGACTCCCTCCTTTAGCTCTGAAACTACCTGAGCGCTGCTCACCATGCTGCCTGCCCTGGTCAGCAGAGAAATTCAGGGCTCCATATCATGAACTCTCCTCAAATGCATTTATTGAATAGCAGGCAATGTAACATAGTTCCTGTATTGGGCTATCAGGATATAATATCCTAGACATAATGAAGCTTTCAGGATAATGAAGTATGGAGCACTTCTTGCTCATCCATAATAAAACTATAAATTCTTCACTTTGTTTTTTGATTAATTTTTCGTGTCTGTCCTACAAGCTTTCATTTCTTGTTGTTATGACTATGACTTTTTGCAATGCTCCCATGTGATATGTGGGTCTAGAGACACAAGTAGGTATACTTTTAGAGTCTGCATTAACCTATAAGTAAGGACACAAAATGCATGAAAGCACACAGCCAGGTGGAGATCCTATTTCATCTCTACAACAATATTCAAGCACACACATCCTCACAACTCTTCCTCAACCCAGGGCTGCAGCAGAAGCCAGGCAGGTTTCTCTGCACAGCAAATAGCGCCCCGAGTTTATGATGCCTGGCCTCTCCCTATCTCTATGCACACCCAATGAAGTTTTTAAAAATTCTAGTTTGTGCCATGTAGAAGTCACAGGCAGCTAGTGGAATAATGATAAAAGCTTTACTTACAGTAAAAACATAGTCTTCTTTCTTAAAATCTGACTTCTTACATTTATTTCTTTTTGGAGCCTCTGTAACCATTTCTGAGTAAGATACTTCAAAGGACAGCTCTTCAGCTTCAGGTGGAATGTTCTTTACCCGATAATCATCATCTGAGAAAAAATGACATAGAATATTTACTATGCCACTTAATCAATCAATACCACTTACTTTAAAATAAGCACAAACTATTTACAAGTAATCCATCAGCATGTTAGAATGTTTACGTTCAGGGAAAGGTGTCAGACCCAGTAACGTAGTATCCTCAGACTTCCATATGAATAAATGTCTATAATCATCATCTATACAAATTTTCTATTTAATTGATGTTTTCAATTTTGGATGTTTGTCTCATGAAAGGCCTTGAGGATAACTAGAGGAAGTCCAAACATGGCATATTTCTATATATTATTATGATATTAAAATTAAGGCCATCTAGACCTAATGTTGCTGCTATTGGGGAAGCATAATTAGAGTGGCCTACTTCCGGCTTGTTTGCAACTATTAAGAGATCCAGATTACTTGTGAAAGAAGCCCCAAAACAAAGACACTACCCAAGCGAGTGGTTTCTAAATGATATGGTGGTAGCAAAGGAGGAAAAGATTCTGCTCCCAGTTTGGCTTTATTACTTTTGTCTGGTGGGACTGAACAGGGTGTTTGGAGGTGGAAGGAGTGCATGCTGGAGTGATAGAATCAACATGGGGAGAATAACACCTACATTTCCCTTTAAGAAATTCACTGCTAACTCTATGGAGCACCAGCACAAAAATGAGAAGACATAGCTTAAGTTCAGCAGGAGGCTGTGTCACTCACCACTCACGGAATTCTGAACTGACTGTCCAGGGCTGGCCGATCCATTGGAATGAACTGGTATATCTGGAATAGTCTCGAGGATAGACTGGGAAACAAGGAAGATGAACACAAAGCATTTACCATCAATACAGTCTACCCTACATTTCAATCTGATTTATGTTCTGTAGTATAAGAGAATTAAAAGAAATTCTTGAGCCTGCATCTAATTTCCTTTGTTTCTTCATTCAGTTCAGACCTATACGGCCCACACAATTACTCAAAAGAGAACTAGGCCAAGGTTAAAATAAGTGCAGCTTCTTAGCTCTTAAATATTTATTGCTCATATCTTTCCTAACACATAGATATTACATTCTTGATGTCACAGAGTTTGACAAATATATTATTTTTAAAATTGATTTTAGAGAGAGGAAGGGAGAAAGAGAAACATCGATGTGATAGACAAACATCGATCAGTTGCCTCCCACACACACCTGACAACAGGATATTGAACCCGCAACCTACGTGCCCTGACTGGGAATTGAAACCAGTCACCTTTTGGTGTATGGGACGATGCTTCAATCAACTGAGCCACACTGGCCAGGACACAGTATTTGTTATTCTCTTTTCTTGTTGTTATTAATCCTCACCAGAGGATATTTTTCCATTGATTTTTAGAGAGAGTGGAAGGGAGGGGGGAAGGGAGGGGAGGAGAGAGGGAGGCTGGGAGAGAGAGAAAGAAAGAGTGAGAGAGAGAGAGAGATAGAGAGAGAGAGAAAATCAATGTGAGAGAGACACATCGATTGGTTGCCTCCCACATGTGCCCTGACCAGGCTGAGGATTAAGCCTGCAACCCAGGTATGTGCCCTTAACCAGGAATTGAACTTGAGACCCTTTGATACATTGAGCAACATTTGTTATTCTTGATGTACTTGGTCATACATTTTGTTCATAAACTCTAATCATGACATAGCTAGGTGTTATTAAAAGTGATGCTAGAGCCAGACTGCTTGAATTTTAATTCTGGCTTTGCCACTTACTGTGTGACTTTAAGCAAGTTACTAGAACTCTCTATTGCTTAGTCTCCTAATCTGTAAAATGAAGATGTTAGCAGAACATATTTCAAAGAAGTATTATGAATTGTAAAAGACTTATCCTATATAAAATTACATGAAACAGTATCTGGTAGATAGCACTATATAAGAGTTAGCTACTATTAATACATTAACATATTAATTCTTTCACTATAAAATAGATTGATAACTACCAAATATTGAAAAACATTAGAAGTTCACAACCTATTTGTATCAAGATTAGCATAGCTCTGGTAACAATAACAAAAAATTACACACACACACATACACATGCACACATACTAACCCCACATATTAGACTAGTGGTTAAAAATGCTAAAGTAGTAGCAAATCATATTCTGTAGTATAATAAAAGAATAATATGACATATAAGTAGGATTTATTTAAACAACAAAATTGCAGTTCATTAGAAAAACCTATCACTGTAATTTCCTGAAGTAATTGCTTAAATAAGAAAAATAATATATTCATTTTAATAGATGATGAATAATCATTTTATATAATTCAACCTCCATTCCTGATAAAAAGCAAGAACCCTAGAATAAATATTCTAGTTAATGATGAAACTTAGTAGAATATCACGAGAAAATAAAAACTTACCTAAAGATCTCCATAATTATTATTCAATGTTATAAGTGACTGTGGTCAGTCAGTCAGACAAGGAAAAGAAAAAATAAATTGGGTAAATAAAATTTTCAGTATTTCAGATGATATCTGCGCAAATTATAAAATAAAATGAAAATTTCTTATAAGTAAAAAAAATTTCAGAAAGGAAGCTATACGAGATACTTTTGTAAAAGAACAAAATAATTAATTTCCTTATATATCTGCAAAAACAAACTAGACGATATCATAAAAACCCTACCATTTAAAATATGAAAGAAAACTATTAAGTTCCTAGTAATTAAACAGTGAAAAAAGATGTGTAAGAAAAAAATGTAAGGTAGAAAATTATGAAGTCTTTTTGAAGGACAGATAACATAAATAAATGGAAAGACACAATCATTGTTTCTCAATAAGAAACAATATTTTAAGATGCGAATTCTTTCCCTGACATTAATCTTTAAATTCAATAAAATTCTCAGTCAAGTTCTAACAAGATTTCTTTTTTAATGGGAAGTAATAGTCTTATTCTAAATTCATCTGAAAGAAAACATTTCTAAGAAGAGCAAAGAAAATTTTGATGCAGAATAATGAGATTGAACTTAGATTTAAAAAAACTATAAAGTCATAGTAATCAAAATAAACACTGTATTTATAGATATTTCATGTATCATAAAGGTTCATTTCAGATGTGTAGAAAAAATGAAAGATTAAAAAAAATATTGGTCAAGCCAAGGTTATCCCTTTGGAAAAGATAAAGTTAGGTTACCTACTTTATACCACTCTATAACATAAATTCAATGTGGCAAATTATCAGGAGTCTCTGTAGTCTTGTAGATGACAGTAAAATGGCCGGGGAACTTGTCTAGGCAGGTGAGATTTTCCTTCACAGACGTCATGCCAGGACCCCTGAAGCCCGTGCCACCACTTCACTGAATTACTGGAAATCCCACCATCTAAAAAGACTGGGGCACCAAACTAGAGTGCCTGTAGCTCCCATAACCAAAAAGCAGGGGAAGCAAAATGTATTTACCTCTTGGTAAGATGTTCTAGAATGATTTCCAATACAGGTGCATTAAGAGTTAAGTTGGCATCTGCAGGCTACTCTAGCAAATAACCAATTGTTGGACATTTCTTAGTAAAGATATTTTGAGTAACAAACCAAAGTCAGTCACATTGGAGACTGGTGCCAAAGATTTTTTTTTTCCTGAAACTTTTATTTATGTCATTATCAGCATCAAATCAGTTTTCAGAAAACAAAATGAAAATAAAACCAAAATCTAAGTAATGTACCCCAGGAAGCTCTATGATTCCAATAAAAGATCATTTATCTCTTTTACACTCTCAAATTTTCAAGAATCCTATTTGCAGAAAATATGTACTCAGTAAGGATTTTTAAAATAGTGAATGAATGTATGAATGAATGAATGAATGAATGCATGAATGAAGCAACCAATGATATGGAGAAGCTAGCAGAAAAGAATAAAGAAATGAAAAAACATGACTTGCATCGATCCGATTTCAAGTAAAATTGTGGTCATGGAACTGCCATGGAAAAGCCTCAGAAACAAGGCCTTTCCAACCAACTTTCTTAGCAACTCAATTGTGCAAACATCCCACTTCAATTTCTGCTTGGGGTGCGCCTGGAGCCACAGGCAGTGCTTTGTTGAGGATCATACAAAACGTCTGGGGTGGCAGAGTCAGCTAGGGAGGCAGATGAGGGGTCAGACTATGCCAGGAGCTTTCATATTAACTTAAAGGCGGGCTTTAAGCAAGACGTGCAGCTGTTGGAAAGGTGAATTTGAGGTGTATAAACAAACATCCAGGAGATGACTTAAGGAGCTATTTCAGCAATACAGACAGATAATGATAAGTTTCTGAACTAAGGAAGTAGTTGTAGGAAAAGAGGGGAGTAGAAATACTCTAGAACTACTTAAAATGATAAAATCCACAGGTCTCGGTGATGGGCATGTAGAGAGGGAGAGGATAGGTGATTTTGAGACTAACATCTGGATCTTGGGCACCTGGGTATCACCAGCTGAGGCAGAGAATAAAGGATGGTGGGCAAGAACCTAAAGCAGGACTCCCCAGTCACAGGGGTACAGCACAACTGTAGTAAGGCATAGTATAGGCCAGTGGTCGGCAAACTCATTAGTCAACAGAGCCAAATATCAACAGTACAACGATAGAAATTTCTTTTGAGAGCCAAATTTTTTAAACTTAAACTATATAGGTAGGTACATTGTTATTAACTTAATTAGGGTACTCCTAAGGCTTAGGACAGTGATGGCGAACTTACGACACACGTGTCAGAGGTGACATGTGAACTCATTTTTTTGGTTGATTTTTCTTTGTTAAATTGCATTTAAATATATAAAATAAATATCAAAAATATAAGTCTTTGTTTTACTATGGTTGCAAATATCAAAAAATTTCTATATGTGACATGGCACCAGAGTTAAGTTAGGGTTTTTCAAAATGCTGACATGCCGAGCTCAAAAGGTTTGCCATCACTGGCTTAGGAATAGCCACACTCAAGGGGCCAAAGAGCCGCATATGGCTCGCGAGCCGCAGTTTGCCGACCACTGGTATAGGCAACTACTTACTTCTGGTACTTACCAGAGTTTGTGAATGGCTTACTTTGTTTTAATAAGTACGGTGGACTGGAGTTCATTTTATGAGACATACTCATTTGCACTCCAACATGGACTTAAATGGGAAAGTAAGGGCTGAATTTATAGCCAGTTGTTCAGACAGTATGGGTCATTCTTAGTCTATCTATGCCAATACCTGTAGTGTCACTGACAACTTACTCATTAGACAAAATTCACTCACATTATTTTATGTTTCTTATGTGATCACTATACAATAAAACAAAACAACCCCATAACCAAAGATCTAAAAACACAACAGAAAAGCTAATTTTCATGGGGATAATACAATTATCTCCCTGAACAATGGGATATACTGGGAGTGTGTCATGCATGTGAATGTCAACCATCCGATATCTCAAAATGGTCAACAGAGGAGAAACTATTGTCCTGCAGGGGCATCTGAATGTGTCCCCTCCATCTGTCTGTAGTGCTGTTTCTGTCCATCAACTTGCCATCAGAGAACCACTGCCTCCGGAGCTCTCACTCCTTCTGGTCCGTTGTATCACCCCCACCAGAGCATCCACACAGAGACACCAGTGAAGGGGGAGAGGGGGAATGATGAGAGTTTTAACAAGGAAAAGTACAGGGTCTGTTACTCAAGGCCAAGTGAGTGAGTGTGTATGGAGTGGAGGGTTTGCATGGGTGAGTCCTGAGAGCTAAGGCTGGAAAGGTAGGCAATAGTGGAAAAACTTCCACAAGGATAAGGAGTTTTACCTTATTCTGCAATTAAAGGGACTTCTGTATTAAGATGGCAGAATTAAGCTAGATCATGTGTGTGAATTCAGCTAAAAGGACCAAAGTTAATAAAATTCCTTCGTGCTTGACAGATGTAAAGAACACCCTTTGGTTTCTGGCTGCAGTGGTATTAATTTATGAAGTCCTCTTTTAAACTGAAATATATTCACTCCTCAGTTTTGAGTCTCCTTCCTTCTAATTATTTCAAGGTTCCTGGGTCTATTGGCAGCTGTGGTTTTCTTGCAAACTTATTTATAGTTTTCCTTATCTATTTTGAAGAAACTGCTTCTTGTTGCCTTGAACAGGCAATTTTTCCCTGACATGCAATTGTCTTGGCATGCGATGACTTACCACAGAGCCACTCCTGGGAAGTGCAAACTTCCCTTCTTCATCCTGGGACCCATCTGACAAGGTAGTACTGTTGAGAGAAGCAGCATCTGGCTAAATGGAGAAATGAAAGTGCATTCTTATTCGGGCAAGTACTTTCTAATGTGTCTGTGCATTCCACTGTGTACACAGTTGGATATGTGTGGCAATCTATGAAGTTACAACTGCCTGAGCCCAAACAATTGCATCCAGCCCTTCAGGGTTCATTATTGTAGCCACCTAAACACCCTCTGACACTGGCCTCTATGGCAAACGCTTCTATTGCCTACCACAAGCTCTATTTTCCTTAGCAATATCTTGGTTTAGTTCCAGGGATTTGAGTATTAAACTATAGACCTTGAACACCAGGTTCTTTTGCAGCTAAGAGTGATCATGTGACAAGTGTGGCCAATGAGGTGAAAGGGTAATTTACCAAGAGTGCTTCCAGAAAAGCTACGGCTTTCCTGAACAAAAGAGCAAGGTCAGCTTGTGAATGCTCATGACAGCACATGGATGAAAGCCTGGAATTGCCAAGCATCTTGTATGAGTAAGGACAATGGCCACAGGGAAGAATGCCAGAAGGTCACCTGAGGTTGGTCCATGCTAAGGGGCATCATGTAGCTTCTCTGTCACACTTGGCCCACGTCCCTTTGTGTGAGGCAAAACAACTCTTCATTTTCTATTACATGCAGCCAAACACAAACTTAACCCATCTCATCATATTTTTTTTTAACAGACTCTAAAACAGTGACGGTGAACCTTTTGAGTTCGGCGTGTCAGCATTTTGAAAAACCCTAACTTAACTCTGGTGCCTTGTCACATATAGAAATTTTTTGACATTTGCAACCATAGTAAAACAAAGAATTATATTTTTGATATTTATTTTATATATTTAAATGCAATTTAACAAAGAAAAATCAACCAAAAAAATGAGTTCGCGTGTCACCTCTGACACGCGTGTCATAGGTTCGCCATCACTGCTCTAAAACAACCTTTTTCAGAGATTAAAATTCAGTAGCAATAGTATCAAGTTGTTTTTAATTTATAAAGCTGGGACAAAGAAATTTTTGCTTCAATGTACAATGGCTTCGCTGAAATTTAAGACCTGAATATTCTTTCCTATTACAAAGTTGGATATAATTTATACTTATGAAAACATATAGTTTTGTCTTTTTAAAAAACTGTCAGTCATCTTGCCTGACTGTATTTTCTAAATTTTCTATAGAAGGTATGTATTATTTTACAACATGAACAAGACATTTTTTAAAAACACACACACATAAAGCACAAGACTAAAAGAAATTCAAGTCAAGATGGTGACTTGACAATCACTACATCCCCTCCCACCTCAAGTTACTAAAAATGATAGAAAACTATATATCTATGCTTAAATCCTCACCCAAGGATATGTTTTCATTGATTTTAGAAAGAAAAGAAGGGAGAGGGAGAGAGAAACATTGATGTGAAAGAGAAACATCAATTGGTTGCCTCTCACACACACTCTGACCAGGGATAGAACCTGCAATCTGGGTATATACCCTGACAGAGAATCTAACCTGCGCCCTTTGGTACATGGGACGATGCTCCAACCAACCAACCCACACTGGCCAGAGCGAAAACATATTTTTCACAAGAACAGATATTTAACAGCACTTTAAACCAGTAAAGAATTCTGTAGGATATCAACTGATAGAAATTTGTAGATAAAAATAAAATGGAAAAAAAGAAAGAAAATGGGCCGGTCCAGCATGGCTCAGTGGTTGAATGTCAACCTATGAACCAGGAGGTCACCAGTTCGATTCCTGGTCAGGGCACATGCCCAGGTTGCAGGCTTGATCCCCAGTAAGGGGGCGTGCAGGAGGCAGCTGATCAGTGATTCTCTCTCATTATTGATGTTTCTCTCTCTCTCTCTCTCTCCCTCTCCCTTCCTACACTAATCAATCATAAACCAATAACTCTGCAGAGAACGGTAGGGGCCTGGAGAGCTGTAATTCCACCTGAAAGTGTGCTGGTATCTTACACCTTGGAGAACCCTTTCCACCCTATGTTTTCATGGATGATGTGTTTGGTGGATCATCTCACTTTCTTGCAGTGACAGGATTCTGATACACAGGGCTATGGGGGAGGGACTAGGAGCTGAACAGGAGAAAACAACCAGGATCCATAGTCTTGATCAGAAGTTCTCCCTGCACTGGAGGCCAATCCTAAAACCTGAGGATACTTGCTGCCATCTGAGGAGACATGTACACGTCCCTGACCAGACAGTATCCACACGCAGGCAGACATTTCACTGTTTGCACCACTTACTGCCTCACATTCCAAAGCCTAACATGTTCTCTACACAGATGTTTACATTTGGAACATAACTAGAGAAAACTAAATATTTATATCTAGTTGATACTGAAATGCTGAAAAAAGTATTTACATGGCAGTCTGTTATTTTTCTTTATGAGCTCAACCACAAGGACCAAGTTTACTTGAGAACATCCTCCATTTAGGGTACACATAAAAAAACCCACCTAGTATTTATTGTTAAAAAAAGCAATAGAATTTAGTTATTTTTATTTATGAAATTAGTCCTTGTTGATTTTAAGAGCTATGAGTGATGGGGCTGTGGGTATCAGTGTTTGCCAAAAATATGAATTATGTTGCATCTTTACCCAAGAGAAATGAGAATATACAAACCTTCATATTACATGAATATTCATGGATGCATTACTCATAATAGCTTAAACCTGGAAACAACCCAAATGTCCATCAACAGGTAGTATATTTATTCAATGAAATATTATTAGTAATAATAATACCAAACTTCTAATACAAGCAACAAATGGATGAATCTAAAAATTATTCTGAGTAAAAGAATCCAGATGCAAAAGTGTCTATTATATTAATAATTCCACTTATATGAAAGGTGAGACCAACTTAAGGTATCAGAAATCACAACCGGGCTCGCCTCTACAGGAGTGGGAGGACAATAGACGGGAAAGGGTCTGAGGGAAATTTCTGGAGGATAGAAATGTTCAATATTTTGGCTGATTGTGGTTGCTTGGGTACAAACAATTATTAAAACAACTTAATTATATACCTAAAGTGATTGCAGTTATTGTTTGTGAATTATATCTCAATAAAAAGAACACATCAGAATAATTTGATTCCTTACAATAACTGAATTCATGGTGATTTATGGATCACTGCTATGAGTTAAGAACCTATGCCTACCTATACTAATGAGTACATCAGAGAGAAAAAAGTTGTTCTTGGGAAATAAGAATAATCTTGCTAAAATTTATAAAAAGTTTGAGACCAGCTAAAAATAATACAATAACAACCAAGAAAAATATTACTAATTTGAACATAAAGAAGAAATCTAGAACACAAAGCAAATAAACTAACATGATAAAAATTGTGGGATATTGAAATCTAATTCAAGCAAAGTAACAACCACTTAATCTGTGTTCTAGAGGGTGGGACACAGAAAATGGGGGGAAAATGAAGACATAACAGAACACAATGTCCAAAAACTAAAGAGACAAAACGGTTCTCAGACGGAAAGGAAACACTGATTTGTGACTGGAATGAATGAAATAAAAGGCAGATCCTTGAGAAACTTCAGAACTACAGATTTCTTATTTTGTAAGGAAAATGAACTTCTAATTTTAGGTATAAGTCATGCAACTTAGTGATAAAATTATTCTGCTTTAATATCAGACATCATGACTATATTTGCAATGATTTATAAATGAATAGGCTGTTTCATTTATAAGATTGAAAATGCATTAGATTATCTCACAAACACATATGACCTAAATAAAAATTTCATCCTCAGTCACAGACACTGGAAATGCTCTGGTTTTCATTAAGCAGGAAGCGTATTTGGAGTCTATTCTGACAGTCATGGGCTGCTTTCTAGGTCTCTTGCTTATGCTCTAAGATTTTTAACAGCATTTGCAATACAATGGCATGCCCCAAAATAAGATGAAAATATTCTATTCCCTGACTAAAGCCAACTTTTGCAAAATTAAATATAAAAGATAGTAATTAAACCATGAAGTTTTACATGAGACCTTAGAAACTTTTATTTTTCATCTTGCTTCTCTGTATTTTCTTTCTACAAAAGCATATGTATTATACTAATAACAAAAACACATACCTATATTGAAGTGGGAACTATGCTAAGGAGGCACTACAAGAAAACTTAGGTGAGGATGGAGGACTGAGGGTGCACCACTCCCAATCACTCAAAATTAGAGAGAGTGGAAAGTAAAAAGTAAGTAATTTATTACATAACTGTACAGAAATTCTCAGACTAACAACAGCATAAGACAACCTTGCTGGCAAGGAAAGAACATATCCACAAAAAGCAAATAGACAAACAAACAACAAAGCTCAGAGTGAAAATTTTAAAGGGCAGTAAGGGGCCCCAGGGTAATGGCCAGGATAACTTACTGTAAAGTGTTTTCTGAACAGAGGGGCCAGCCTCACCTCCCAGCAGCCCCTTTATACTGAACAGCAGGCAGCAGCTATGTGTGAACCCAAGGAAGACACTCTGAATGAAGTGAGCCACCTGCCTTGGTAAGATGTCCAGTGCTGGGACCAAAGAAGACTTTCATTTAATCAGGTCACTTGGAACCTCCACAAAAGACATGGATGGGAAAATAAAAGGAAAACATCAGCTTTGTCTAGGAGAGAAAATGAAGTCATTCACTGTTCTCCCTTTGGCACTAAAGATGTATGTTTGTGTGTGTGTGCGAGAGGTGTATATATGTGTATGTGTGTGTGCGGTATGTGTCTGTGTGTACTAATGCATGTGTGCTGTTAAGCTCACTTCCATTCATGCACAGTTCTCATACTTGATTGACTTATACAGGACCCAAAGTTTTCCCTATTATTCAAAAAAGAGTTAATTGGGAAAATAGCTATACAATGACAGGAAATCATATAGCAGTGACATACCCTAAGTCATTAATTAAGCAACCCAGTTCATTAATAAATATAAACTAATCATCAAGGATCACCAGTCACTGGAGAAAATCAACATTAAAAAGTTGGCCATGGAGAAAATTAATATCCTG